TAATCCCCATGTGAGTCTTGTTATCATGGTTCTACCGTATTGATTTTGTTTCTGAATACAACAATTATTCGTGAACCATTACCTTTCTTCTAGTGTTCAAACCCGAACTACTTGCAAAGACTACATAAAATAAAAGAGATGGTAGAAAAGAGAAAAACAATTTTTTATTAAAAGCGCGATGGTCATTGAAACTGCATCAAGTTGAGGCTAGTTTCGAACTATTGAAAACCTATGGTCTCTTCTCAGGATCGAACGGGTGACCTTTTGATTGTCAGGCGAGCACAATTGATAGTAAACAAAAGCTTTAACAGAACATTTACTGTTCAATTGCATGAAGTAAACTGTACAGTTGATATTTTATGGCCTAAACAAAGGACGCAACGCAACAGAGAGTTTGTATCTCAGGTCGGGCATCTCGCAGTAAAATGTAGCTGTAAGTACGAAATGATGTCGTGGTGTCCTGGGAACACCACTAAAGTCGCGTTCTTATTACCTACCTGGCGCTGGACACCCATCCTACCCATCACTGGTCAACCGAGGCGTTAAGTATCAATAATTATACTGTAGAAGTAACGTAATGTGCACAAGCCAATGGTGCGAGTTATTACTGAACTGTACTGACCGCTCCACTAAATAGTCAATTATTTCTCACTAAATAGTCCCAGCAATCATAGAGCACATAAGTTACCTGTATTAAGATTTTGACTAGGCCTATCGTTAGAGGTAGACACCCATTTCTTCATTCTGAAAATAAACGCTTGTATTTTGAAATCACCGATATTTATATTTAAGCCGGACTAACTAGTAGTCTGGATTATGCAACTTTCTTTGCAAACAACATAACTTTACGTAAATATTTGTTGAATAAACAGACGAGGAACCAATAATACATTATTCTAACCTAATTGTGTTTTAGCTGAATCTTTTAGATGTCGATGCAATATCTTGAAATAGATATGCCTTTCCAATCCAAGCTGTTGCGAGTTTTTGTTTTTCTTTTTTTTAAAGGTCTCAGTTAAATTAAGCCGCCGTCGGAACGTGCTGGCGTTTTATATCCTATACGAAACTTCTAACGATCGCAAACTGAAAGAAGAACTTATTGATCCCTACTTATATAGTATATTTTATACTTACACCAACTACCATCTTTTGAAAAAATAGTTTCAGCAGTAGTAGGTACACTCTACGAGACTCAATCGACCATGTTCTCTCACGGCTAAAATCTCGCAACAGTAGGTAAATACAGATGTCAGACGACTCTTAGAGTATCTAAAATCAATGGTTGAAATAAGAATCAAGCAATACAGATGTCCTTATACGCTATTGGCAGGGAAAGTGTTTGACAACATTGGAGTAGAGCGTTGACCGTTGACGACCTTCGCAACGATATCCGATGTTGTGGATCTCATCTGACCAGCTGATGCTGACACAGCTGTTGTGACAATATCGTGGTTTGATGGTTAAAAAATTATTTTAAATTGTTAGTACCAGGGGACCGATCCATGGCTTGTTATAGTTTATTTCCATTGAACTATGTAATATTAGCTCAATAGTAACAGCTGATGTTTTTTCCGATGTACTGTATTTTGTAATTTGCTAGTATACTGTGAATGGCTTTTTAAACACATGTTATAAGTCTATGTTTACTTTTTCCTTGTTATTTTTTTCAACCAACATGGTTACTTAGCAACTCAGAAAGCCAATGTTAACAAGTTTTGACTTTCAATTTCATTTTTTTATGTAATTATATTTTTCTTAACAGTTTATTTTTAATTGCATGAAACACGTTTGTAGGTCAGGAATAAATTATTTGCAACATTTGAGGGAAATCGTTGAAGCCATTTTCGAGATCTTTGTGCAAGCAAGCTTACAAGCATGCATACATACAAGCAAGCATTGCCCATGTAAGAGTAAAAGGTTCGAATTCTAGAGTTTGTGCTACGGGGCAGTTGACGCATAAAGTCATGGACAAAACATATTCCCTTAAAAAGTAATCATCCTTGTGAACACAGGACTGGATTCATGATGTGAAAATATGCATTAGGAAATCTTTTAATTTTACGTAGGTTCAGCGAGGAGTTAAAAATATATATTTAATTTAAATGATAAGATACTTGAACACATATAGTTCATGCTTGGGTGACAAACTATGGCACATAATCACTTGCTTTACATGCAATCATACAATCCACAGGCACGCAAACTACCATGCATTTTATTCGTAACTGGAGCAACTCTATGTCAAATGACAGCACATCTATGATTTAACATCGATGACATAGCATTACGTCATTTCGTTATGTTGACATCGATTTAGTTGCATGTTCTATCCGGTGATCGGAGCTACCGATTCCCGTTCTTTCACAATATCGAGAACTTTTGACATGACTTGCAATAACTTCGATGCAATAAGATTGGATTACTTGATCTAAAATATAAACATAATATGTCAGAACACGATAAACGTCAAAGTTTCATTCTGTACATAAAATGGACAGAATAATAGGTTTGTTCTCTTTTACATTAATTATACACTTTACAGTTCTACCAACGTTCTACAAGCAACCAATGGCGTTTTGCCCAGACTATATAGCTAATGGAATTGACCTTTAGATACAACTACATGAGAGACAAACCAATTTTTATGCAAGGAAAATCTGTAGGAAATTTCCTCTCTCAAATTGAACATAACTTTGGAACTGAAAAAAAACAATCTCAATTTCATTCTTAACTAACCATGCATCAGTTTATAATTAACATTGAATAACAATTAATAATATAAGCGTATACCGTCAATTGTAAATTTAATCCAGAATCTCAATGCCCTGTTTAAAATCTACATTTAACCATTGATCACAAACCATGATCCATGTCTACCGCATGGTAGACAATAGACATGTGTGATTCCAATGTTTCTAGTGTTTAAAACATATTCGGACCTCGATCATTACATCACTATTTGTACAGAGAAAAGGCTAATATAAGACCAATCTGTGTCTGTCTTTATCATGTGTTATACATCTCTCCTGGTTGACGGTCACCTGTCATCATCGCGATTTGACGTATTCATTGGTGTTATTATTCGCATGCGGGTACGTATTACTAAGTCAACAGTGATCTAAATATTAGGCACTCATTTTGGTGATTAAACCCCAATTTTAAGCCTTAAAAACGTATCCTAGTATTTCGCTAGTAGTGGGCCCTTTTTTGTTTGGCTGGACTTTTTTAGTGTAATCCATTCACACGCTATTTATTTATTTATGGCAATGCACCATTTTATATTTAATCTGTTCAGTGAGTATATAATTTGTAAGAACTATTTTCGCAGTGTAATAATACATTTAAACAATAAATTTTGCAAAGTTTTTCCTTTTGCCTTACAACGAACATTTATCATTGGTAGGTAGGCCTACTACTTAACTGTTGCTAAATATAAGATGTTCGCCAAGGTTAGCAAATTACAGTATTAAGATTATCGTGAACTTTCACTTAGAACTTCAAAACTGATGAACAACAGTTTAACTGAGAATTTGGGAACATCGGAGCTTATAATATTACTCTACAGTATATTGTTTTTCATTATAAAATATAGGTTCAATATATATTTCCTGTATTGTATATCTTCATATTTTTACACAGCCTCTTAGGATGTTCCAGCCCCTGGCCCAGGCAGCGACGACACCCTACACAATTTATCACCACCTTATAAATTCCTTAAGATACAAATTACTTGAATTAATTGTTTCTAACATTTGCTACATCAACGGGGCTCTAAACACTCAAACCACGCCGTCAACTTTGCCCTACCTAACTTTTATTTTATTTACATGTCAACGGCTCAAGTCAATACATTTTGATTGTTGTTAAAATTTAATGAAGTTAAATCTGTATCGGGAGTTTTTACAGCCCCCCCCCTCGAATAAATTTATAATCTTCTATATAATTATTACGCCAACTCAAAATTTGACCTTTGAACTCCTCCGCCATTTCTTAACCGATTTTGATCATTGGCGGCTCAATGGAAAGAGCGTGTCACGAAGATTTTAAAACCGACCTCACATTTTTTATAAAGTCGCTTGGGTTTAAAATCTCTCATGTTACCCTTTATTGTTTACATTATGATCAGCTGAATAATTTAATTGTTGTTAATATTAAACCAACATACAAAAAATCTCTAAAAAACAATTCTGTTGAGAGTTTGTTTAAGGAAATGTGTCCTACACAAATTAAAATTTACCGACCTGGTTGAAATTAAATATTTACTCTTTGAATTTGGGTTTGCGTCCATATTACAATGGTGAAAAAGTGAGAAAGCCTGGAAATGAATTAGCGAGAAATCATGGTTAACATGTTATTTATGTTTGTTCATTCATGTTTATGTGTATTGTTGCACTACACACAAAGACGATTTTTAAGTTTATCCTCCTGGCTTGAAGTTGGACTGTTGTCAATCATCAGTTTGGCGTACTTTAACCAAAATATGAATGGAAGACGAGTGAACCCCCCTTTTGACTATTTTGATCAGTCTTCCAAATTATTCCAACAAACAAATTGTAGCAATACAGGTCAACAAATATCCAAAGTGTCAATTTCGGCAGAGACAACCCTTATGAGGGTGGGGTGTATGTCAGTCACAGCTGAACTGGGTGATTCCATTACGTCCCTTCCTACCCTTAGATACAGTCATACACAGTAAGCAAACCATTGTACATTCACGCTTGTTATCTAGAGTAAATATTGACCCAGTGATAGCACAGGGCGATGAGTTTTACACAGAGCATGTTTGTCATGTTTAAAGTACAATTTGAGATATTTTGAACAATTTCATAATTATTTCAGTAAAATACAATTAGGGCCTGGTTAAAATTTGTCAAAAAGGATTTTAAAGTTTGTCGTATACAAAACATTGTATTTCTACACAAATATATATGTAGTATAAGCGTATACAAATTAATTCATAAATAATGTTATAAATATAAAACAATAAGTTGTAAACTTACCGCGTTAGTTCACCTTCCAGCGTAGTTGTAGGGTGTTGTAAATTTTCCTAAACATTCAGCACTGTACATAATCCTGGGGTAGTCCATACTTCCATAGATGTAAACACAAACACAATACAGGACGCACCACGAGACAGACAGCGACACAACGTACCTCGACGACGGCGCGGGAGATACTGCGGTAGTTACTAGGATCACCGCTGGTCCAACCGCAGCGCTAGTGTCGCGTTATCGACCGTCTCAAGGTAGGTGAAGGTCGCTCCTGAGTCCTGAGCGCAGGTCTTCAATACTGATAAGAGGGTCGGGTGGGCGCGGGAGTTTTGGGGTGTTTTAGGATTTCGAAATTTTGGATTTAGGTAATTTATAGGATAAGACGGGTGTGTTTGTAAATAAAATATCCAGTTGGGATTGCTGGTGTATTTGGTAGAAATGTAGACTTAGTCCTGTAGGTTTCTGCTCAAAACCCATCACCATTAGGTATAAGATGATGCAATATAAGAACCCTCTATGGCCAGTAGGTACCGATAATGCTCTTCAATTATGAAATCTGTCTCCGTAAAGAAGATCTCACTCCTGGAAAGGATAGTAAAAATAATAATTTAATTACCAGAAGTAATACTGTAATATTTTTTTTGTGGCTACCCAAGTTAAATTGGCTTAAATATACCAAACAATTTTAAAAACAAAAACACTTTCAAGGAACAACCATCTTATCTCTCAATTTTTGTGTGAAATGCTAGGAATCGAACAGATCCCTCCTGCACCAAATTCTGAGACTCCACCACTGGGCTTGCAGCGCACCCTTTTTACCTCCTTGTTTTTTTTTATATCAAAACAAAATATTTTCTCCCTCAAATTCTATACTTGCAACTAAATAAAATGTTAAAAATTGAGCCAAATCTAAATAGAGTAGCGTAGCGTGGACACACACAAAGGTGATGCAAAGTAATAAATACCTGATCCAAGATCCTACAATAGATGGATTCTGTATGGTGTGCTTCAAATATATAAACCTAAACACCCATCCCTTCTTTCAAGTAGCCTCCTTGAACCCTCCGAATCTCATGAAAAGATTTAAATTCCAGATTTACTGGCTTGATTCTAGAGTAGAATTCCAAATCTCATATGTCTTTTAGCGAATTTCCCTATAGGGAAGTAGCTATTACCGTAGGTGGCACGGGAAGACCTAGACCCGGGACTGATATAATTTTTTTTATTTTGATGTCCCTAGTGTCCAAAAACACTATTCGATCAAATTTCTAATGTAAATAAATAGGTCTGTGAACGCGATAACTTAAGTAATTTTTTCCAATTTTGATGAAATTTGGCTTGAATGTGTAGGGCAGGATAAAATTTTGAATGAGTTCGTGATCCAGCATGATCCATGGAGGTTTATGGGGTAAAAATTGGGTTTTATCTTGTTTGACCCTCAAAACATAAAATTTCCCAATCTATCTTTAAACCATTTTAAAAAAGCTTAAAAACAAAACAAAAATTGTATATTGAAGGTTCTTTTAGGGTTTTTGGTTATGGAGAAAATTCAAAAATTTAAAATTCCAATGTTATTTTTATAGAGGATAAGTTAACTGTTGTCAGTTTGCTTGTTTATGGATATATTTTAATCAAAATTGGCAAATTAGTTTATTTTATATATATATATATATTGCTAAAAAACACACTTTATTACCCTCCCAATAGCAGCAAACCTAGGTACTTGTCAAACATAATGTTATTTAAACAGATTTAATTTAAATTCCAATCAGGTAAATGGAAATTTGCTTAGACTGCAGGTTTGCTGTGGCAGGGTTATTTATAGTTACATTACAACCATTGTTTTCCTTGTCCGTTTAATATAGCAAACATAACTGGAATCTGAATAAGGATGGAGGTTGTTCAAATTCCTAATCTATATATTTCCTTTTCCTATTTCCTTTGGCGCTGCCTACGATTGACAGGCAAAGCTCTCTCAAAACACTTAATGCTTTTTACCATAAGGTTGGCATTCTGGGTTATAGTAGTATGTTTTCTGTGCTTTCGCACAGCAAGGTTTTTTGTTGAATGGGAGACAACCAGCCAGTGCAAATAGATCAGCTGTTGACAATCTAGCTTGTCAATTGACAATGATCATGTTTATTGCTGAAAACACATCCATCTCTTCGTACAGTCAGAAACTGTATAATGTGAAAGAAACATAGACACAACATAAAACCGTAGGGTTTGTAATCAGACAGCAAAAACAGTATAATGTGAAAGAAACTATGGTCAAAAAGGCCCAAGCGAAGTGATTATAAACCTGACTCCCAGGTTTTATGTCAAGTATAGCTTTCAGCCTTTTTTTGTTGATTTATACTTGCTTAAATAGTTGAAAACGGAATGCTTGTTGTTACTCTAGCCTAGATGGCCATCATACTGGCCTTTGGAGCCCCAATGGTTAAATGTGGGTAGAGGAGATGTTTAGATAAAACCAATCATTATTTAAAATAAATTTATTAAACTCTATCAGTAATATTCGTGATCACAAGTGCTAACAGCTAATTAGTCAGCTGTAGAGAAGAAACGTGGCTCCAAGCCAAGTGAACAAGAAGTAATGGTATTTCGATTTTCAAACAAACTACAGTACACAACAATCCCATAAATCTGACGGTTCATTTTGTAACATTACTCTGTATTGTTTTCAATATGATTTTACAATAAATCTTTCATTGTTAACACACGTAAAACTATTCTAAAGACACTTCAACAGTTGTGTTTATTTATGTCAAGATATAGTATTGTTGAACATTAAGAACCTTGATCACAGGAAACAATGTTAGGTCATTGTTGTGACAAAGAAGTAAGCCTATTAGGTAGAAAACATAATAAAATGTCTGTTAAAATAATCAGTCTTAAGCTGAAAATCACAATTATGTGTTTAAGATTTTACCAGATTTTAACACCATAATGTTTGGTTGATGATAAAAATTAGGTATACTACAAAATTATGTATTCATTTCATTGATTTCTGTAGATTCGTAGTGATACCAAAAAGGATCTTCAACTTAATTATCAGCTAAACTTAACCGTGTTAATATTTGAATGCCATTAAAAATGCTAGCTAGTGCTGAGGTATAGAGATAGTAAAGCCCAGAATATGATACCAATACTGAATAAGACAGTTATCAATAAGGGCATGATAGATATCTCAGTGATGTATAAACTTTTTAATTCGCTGAATCTTGAGATACTTTGAACCAAATTAACACCAAAGGGGTTTTTTGCATCCATCATAATCTAAAACAATTTTATGTACTGATTTAATTTTCTCCATATTCTGAAATTCATAAAAACAGATTACTAATGTAATTTTATTCATTTGCTGATGTATTATCTTCTTAGGCAAATTTAATAGGTACCGGTACTGTATGTAATAGAACTCATTAGTAATTATATATGGGTCACACTCTGATATTGAGCAAGATTTTATTGACAGAGTTATTGTTCTTACTCAATTTTGTGATTCTGGAGGCAATATAATTTTGATTACTAACATCCAACCATAACTTATTTTAGAAATGTGATAAGACTTGTTTATACTCTAAATGGCTGTATCAGCTAAAGGAGCACTTTGTTTTTATTTATATATAACAAAGATTTTAAGTGAAAGACACAAACAACTAATTTGGTAGGTCAAAACTAAGGAAAGCTACCTAGTTAATATTTCATAATTTACTAAAACAGGTATTTGATTTTGAAGAAGTTAATATACAAAAATCCCTCACATACATCATATAGTATAAATACTCTATACTGTAGAATGCAATATCTCAATGACCTCAATAAATTACACGGATTACGACTAATGTGTTAGAATTTAATGGATACCTGGTGTATCATCAACTATATACCAAACTGTTTCTGAATCCTAGTATCATTAGTTACCACAGTGTGCATTCCTAGTTCAAAAAATATCAATATGACAGTAGAGTCTCAATTATTCAACCTAAATTGGCCGCTGCAAAGTCCGGAAGGCTCAAATAATAATAAAAAACCAATATATCACCATGTTAAATACCATCAAATAAATTAATAGTTTCTCCACCATCAAACCTGTATAGGCTTAAAGATAATCTTCCATTGAAAAACCAATTTTTTTAATTTTTTTTAAGCCACCACAATAAGCAAAGAAAATAAGGAAACCGTCAAAATAACAACAACACTTTTCTAACAGTAAAAATATGACAAAACAATACACACAATAATAGTTGAGACTCTAATGTATATTGTTTAAGCTACTTATAATGGATCTTTAGAATGGAATTATGGAATTTCAAAACGTATAAGGCCAGACTCAGACTGCAGCTAATAAAATTTGAAAGGGAATATTGACTCCTGTCATCTATTTACTCAAATAAATTAAGTAACATTAAAGTGTAAGGGTAGTTCCACATTTCAAACATAAATACTATAACATTGTATATACATAATATTACAATTTAATTTACATATTTTACAATTATTGATTTCACATAAGGAAATGTAGTTAACTCCATAATACAGAAACTGTTAAGCTTACAAATATAAAAATTCTAGTTAAAAGAATTACAATTTTGTAAACACGCATTAGGCCTTACAATGACAGTTCAGACTTAATATTGTCGTTACAGAATATGTGCATTCATTGAAACCCAAGATTTAACAAACAAAAACACTATTTTACACCAAAGGAATGAATGGATACCTACTGCAAGTAGACTTATCACACAATTGTAAAAACTGAAGTCTTTTTGTGTGTGTTTCAAGAAAGTCTGATTTCTTTTAAATAGTTTGTTGTTGAATATACGTTTTTTTTTACTGTAGGATGAATTTTACACCTCCAATTATTGGTTATTTGTTTTGACCAGACAACAAGAAATAGTTTGAAAATAATCTGTTTTTTTCAGGTAAAAACCAATTAAAAATTGATGAGAAATAAATAGTCCACACCAAAAATACACACAACAAATCATATAGAAACATACTTAGTAATTCTTTTCAGCTGATCCATAAGGATGACAAATTAATTGTTAATCACTCATCAATTGGATTACAATTACTCGTCGCTTCATTAAGATGATTTTTTTTGTAGGCCTACACATTTTAAGGTGAATATGAATGATGGACGAGTGTAGAATGGAGTGGGTATCTCATTTGGTAGCGTTGTTACTGATCCATAGCAAGGATCATTAAAGCCTAATAATGAAGGACAGCTGGGCCCAGTTTCAAACCACCAAAAAGATACCGATTTTTCCCTAGATCGAACTTGGTTCAAACCAATAATCTGTGCTTGGGATACACAATAATATCAAAAGCTAAAATGCTATTATATTACAGTAATCTGAATTAAACCTTTATAGAATGAAGTATAAAGTTACCGATTGGTGATTTCAAAGACAAAAGGAAGTAAAATTTAGTTTTTAACAATTTTGTACTAATGTGCTATATAAAATTGTTGTACTGATACTTAGATTTTTCACTAACGTTTAGGAATTCTCCCTAGCTCAAGCTAAGTTGAGATTATCATATCTGGAAAATAATTTCTACTACGATATTACATAGGAAGGATTGAAAATCATGTATTTGGTGCTACTTAATGATGAATAAAAAATTTAAAATATGTGATTGCAGAAATTACTTTTTCTAGACAATACAACATATCTTCTAATTTATGAGGTAAAAGCGTACAAAATGACTATACAGTAGATGTTTTGGAATGTCCACAAATAACAAGTTAACAAACTATACTCTACAACATAACAATCTTATAGTACAATCATTCACAGGACAACTGATATTGATTTTCAAATCAAAATACTCAACTAAATACTTTACTGGATCTCATTAAAACAAAGAAATATTTACCCAACAGTAAACAGCAAATATACTGCAAGGAAAAATATGCAAACTAAACCTAAAGCCTGTATAAACTTTTCAATATTGTTACAATTTGACCAAGTCAAGGTATAAAAAAGATGTATATAAATGTAAATTAGATACATTATAATAAAACAGTACAGTACTGTTGATGATCATAGTAAAACAAACCTAAATGGAAACATGAGAGATCAAGTTGCCAAGTGACTAAATGTAAATACATCCCAAAACTGACAACTTCAACAATAACAATAATGAAAAAAACAACGGAGAAATGCTCATTTACACACCACACAGACAAACTTGCAGCTAAGTTCAAGACTCGTTTATTCCTTAGCCTACTTTGTACACTGTTAAGTCCACACAACCTTAGCTGAGGAAATCTATCTACAACTAAATTAACGCTTTGGTATCGCAGCAATAGCAGCAGTGGTGGGATGATCAGCCGCATATCTTACAATTAATACTAACGTAACGTATGTAACACTAGATCACATGGTAACAGAAGGAGGTTAGAGCAGGCTGTTGTCTACTAAAGGTGACATCTGACTCATACCATCGTGCTTCTTGCTCCTCTCCATCTCATAATGCACCTCCATGGACAGACCTAAACAATTTATGGCTAAGTTGTTAGTTGTAAAAAGTCAAGTAAAATTAAAAACAAAAGTGGCTCAATAAAGTTTTGCTTGACGGTAAATCAATAAAACTAAGGTTACAAAATATATTTAAAAAAAACACTATACAATGCCAATGTAGGTACAGTAGAACTCTAATCATCCGAATCAATTAGGATCGTACAACACAACATTAGGATGGTAAAAATTTCAGACAGTTACGTTTTTACCGAAATTAAGAGTATTTAGTAGAAAAAACTTCTTATGCACCAATTAGAAAAATTCAAGCTTCATCCGAGATTTTACTATTGAGATAATTGCAGTAGGCGTCTACAAAGACTTCTCTACAAAAAAATTCACACTCGCAAAGGACTAGGATTACGTTTTCGTGACTGCAGGAGATGATGATTTTACTTGACCGCCACAGAGATAATGATGTCTGGAAAAAGATGATGATGTCAACACGACCACGGGAGATATTAAAGATTTTGCCGCAATCAAGGAGGACAATGAGGATGTTTTCTTGACTGCGGGTGGGAAGACGATGATGATGTTTTCTTGACTGCGGGTGGGAAGACGATGATGATGACTACTTGACGGTGGGAGATGTTTAGGATTTTCCCCACAGTCAAGGAAGACAATGAATATGTTTCTGTGACCATGGAGCACAGCGATGATTTATACACGAGTGCAGGGGATTTTCAGGATTTTTTACAATCATGGAAGACAAATGATGTTTAAGACTGCAGGAGACAACAACGATGACTACAGGACTACAGAAGATGAACAGGATTTGGCCGTGATCATGGCTTCTGCGGTAGTAACAATTCTTTGAACGTTATTTTTTGTTTTGGGTATTTTAAATTCTTTATGTTAATAATCGGTGATTTGGATAGTTGGAGTTTGGATAACTAGTAATCCTACTGTACTAAATAAAAATAATTTTGTAATCAATTTTTTGTCCAATCACATCATTACAAAATAGTGTGTCAACTAAATATCGGAAATTCAGAAGTGACATATTCCGATGGAAGTATTCTTTCCAATGTCCCTTTTATGCCTAGTTGAAATATTTTAGAATTCTTTGAATGAAAGCTAAGTTATGATATCAATTTTTGAGCGTTGGATAAAATTAATCAAGCTTACTGGCCAAAAACAACAAACAAAATTAACAAAAATAAAGTTGTTAAATAATAAATCGAAAACCAGTTTTAATTTTCACACCAAATAAAAATAAAATAAAATAATCACCTGCAACTTAGTACAGTACCCCCTGAAATCTGCCTGGGTTAGTCTGAAACCTCCACCAAGAGTCTGGCATTTTCTGGTGGCCGACTTAGAAGAGAATAGTCTAGAGGAGATATGTAAAGATTAGAGAAACAGCAAAATAAAATAAAATAGGAATGGGCCAATTTCAAAAGTAAACCTTTGATCCCTAATCGTAAGTCATAAAAGTCATAAAATCTATTAAATTCGACTCTACTTTTGTTTTTTAACAGATTTTCCTATTATTTGCTGAAATTTTTTACTCATCGCAAAACAATAAGACTCCCAGTTTTTAGTTAGTTTTTATTATTACTTTTTTTAAGTTTTGGTTTTAATGATGAATTTTCCATTAAAAAAACAACAGAAAATAGGATTTAAAAAGCCTTGAATAATTTTGATTGAAGTCAAATACGTTAGCCTACGTTCCTTTTAACCTTAGACAAATTGGTACATCCCCTAATGCTGTAAAAATTAAGGTTTAAAAGTAATTTCAATTTTGTGATTTTACCAATAACATATTAGCTTGAACAAGATGCACTTACCAGACTGTCTCCTGGAGGTGGTTCGTAAGCTTGTCCCCACTCCTGCACCTTCTGGTATGAAGGCAGCGACTAGAAGAGCACAGATGACCAGTAGTGCGCCAAACACAAACGGCGGCCCTGGTACCAGCTGTGGACACCACCAGGAATAATGAAGTCTACTTCATACTCAGTGGGTTGTACCATTGACTATTTTGTTAGAAATATACATTCCATTCCCATCTTAAAGTTGTATAGCCGGTTTAAGATTAAATTGAATGTTTTTTGATTGAGCCACCGACAGAGTAAGCTGCTGTAAATTACATATTGATTTCTGTTGAATAAGCTAATTTTTTTACTAAGCCAAACCATAGACTAAGCAACACAAGTAGACTCCTCATCCCATTGTACATTTTGAAGCTTGTTTTTTGTGTCTAGTTCAAGTACGTCCACACAGATCGCTTGTGTAGACAACATTTTGTTTCTATTATTTTAGGGTTATTTTCACGATTTGTGCTTTACTATTTGGTTATATAACTAGGAGACCAGTTATTGTTTATGATTATATCGTTTTATTGGGTTAAACGAGGTTTTAAATGACTGCAATAACAAGAAACAAATTGTAAACAAAACATAACCTCTATAGTTGGACGTACAGAACTAACAATAAAATTGGCTTCAGCTGTTCCATTAGGATGAGTAATCTACTAAGGAAGTATGTTTTATCTATGGCCAAACTGAAAAAATTGCTTATAGCAACATCATTGTAAATGTTAGCCTCCGGATTGGCAAATTATATTAATAAAGGTTTAAATACCTGCTATTAGGCACTCCATTCATATTGAAAATCAGCGCGGTACAACATTAATAGCAATATGACATTTTCCAGAGACAGATATAAATTAACACCTTGGAAGAGTTTAAGATATACAAGGCAGTAAGACTACCGAAATGTGTTACACGACCAACTCTTTTTCTCGTCTAATTTTATGTATGTCTGCCATCAGGATACTGGAGGGGGGAAGTGTGACTGACAAGACAGGATCCAATCTGAAGTCATAAGATATTGGTCTTACACCTACTGCACTGACCCCCCACAGTCTGGACTCTAACCAAGTAACTCCACCAAGTAAGAGTCACCTGTTGTCATAACTGATCAGTTAACATAAATGTTTTGTATCTGTGTTTGTGTCATGTGTAAATATTTAATAATTTTTAAGTGTAAAAATATGAAACTTTTCATGTTAAGAAAGAAAAAAGTTCTTGTGCCCTCCTGGTGATGCCACATTGAAGTTGAAATTAGTACTGTTTATGAATATGTAGAATATGATTGTATTGCCTAATAGCAGGTATTTAAACCTTTTTTTAATGCTTATAGCAAATTATAGCATCTTTTAAGTTACAATTCTTACAGTAACAAAATCACTATTATGAGCGCATAGTCTACTGTCAGCATACTCTATGAGTGGCTCATTCAAATAAGGTATTAACAAGTAGAAAACTGACCGCAGCTTGTACATATAAAAAACCAGATGGGATGAAAACTTTCTTATCCAAAAGTCACGGTCGCAACATCCTTGGTTAATCAGGAGAGTACTGTAATGTCAAACACTGAAAAAATTATCAGAACACTTTTTTAACTGTAATGCTGATAAATAAAAATTTATGTTAGAGATAAGTTTCTTCACTTACAAAATGATGATAGGCCTACTTAATAAAAAAGTTAGTTAAAAAATCAAAAGTACCACCTAATTAAAGTGTACTCAGTGTAAGAAAAAAACACAGGTAGAAATATTAAGGGTAGCATGAAATTACGAAGTTTTTTCCCTTAAAAGTATTTAAAATAGAATAAGGTTCAATACGAAAGCTGTAAAAGCATCATTCTATATTTGCCTGTTGAAAGCTAAAATTGTACTTGTGCACAGGCTTTTAATGGGGCTTACCTGTTTGGCAATTTCTCCTTTAGGCCACTGATTGCATGCACAAGTAATATCACAGTGAAGGTATTCAAAGTTAAATCGTATCCAAGAGAGACTTGGATGCTACAGTGATAAAGTCAAGGATTGGACAAATTGTACAATCAAAAAGTTGTCATGTAAAAATAGTTTTATGAATACAGAGCAAAACTAATGGCTTTTACGGAGAGTTTACACTGTAAACTCTTAATTCTCCATAAAAATACATGCTAGATCATCTTTAAAAAAATACAAAACAATTTTGTTATTATAATGGATGGAAATATGTATTTCAACAATAATTGAAACAGAGATTATTTATAAAAAAAATACTTGTTGATGGCTTGAATGGTCTTTTTATTGTTGGTCTAGGGATGCAGATACACAACTCCTTGGCATATGTATGACAAATACTTAAAACATTACTTGTGAAAGGTCAAACCCTTAAGAAAGCCTGCCCTTAAACTTACATCTTCCTTGAGTTGTTATTTAAAAAATGTATTTTTATTTGATATTAAAAATAAAACATAAAAATGTTGTTAGGATAGCAGGATTATCTAAATGGGAAATAGTCCAATTTGGCTTCTAAAGCCCTTCCTGATCAAAAAGGTTGAACAATGAAAATGCTGTAAATGAAAGTGAAATATTTTAGTTTTACAGTGTAACTTTTTTGTGTTTACTCTTTCCCATTCTGGTAATCTTGTAACTAAAAGTTTAATAGTAACAACAATTGTTTGCATAACACTGATATCATTTAACAGCGACCTATTAAACAATATTTTCAAAAGTAGTCAAGAAAGGTGAAACAGAAGAGACAGGTGGGTCTCACCTGAGGCATGGCGTCCGGATGTCCGAAGGTGTTGTTATCCCCTCGGTCATCCCTACTCTGTCTCGGGTCCTCGTTGAGGTCCACGTGGAACAGGTAGAAGATAACACCAAACATGGCAGGGCCCAGACCATTACACAGACCTCTCATACCTGTCACCATGCCTTGCACCAGCCCTGTACACAACACAGGGTAAAATTTGATTCTATCGCTTGACTGCTTGTCATTAAAGAAATAACTGTAGTATCAAGTTGTGAATCTTTGTATGGATTGTTCACTGTACTGGATACTTATATAATGCCATACAAAATTTTTTTTTATTACCGGTAATCAAACGAGTTGTGGTACGACAGTGAGTGGGCAAACAACAGGCGAAACATCTTGCGCAGACGACTATATGGAGTTCGCCTACACTCTGTTGTACACATTCACTTTTGTTTGTTTATTGGATTGACTATTATACATTCCTTTAACTGTTTTTTCTTTGGTGATTTTTCTGCTTTGACTGGTTTTGTGTAGCCTACTATTCTTGTACAGTAGACTCCTTCTAGTTGGACTTTGGTTGGATCGGCTGCCGGATGATCTCAGGGGGATGAGAAAATTACCTTCGACAGGATTCAACTTGAATGTTTAGTTTCCGGCTGTAGAAGTAAACAATTCATGTCAGTTTAGTTGATAAGTGCTTCTTTACCTGATTGTTGCACTTTACCTACCGTTTATGGTAAACGGTCAAGTTATATAATGTTTTTTGATCTTGTATGTGTATTCTTTTTTCACTGCACAGTATTAAATTGTTTTGGGGGTGAACATTGTGAGTTCTGTATGCAGGGTTACTGTTAGAAAAAAGTCTCCTAAAATGAGTGAAAAACATAAAAACATGAAAAACATTTGTTTGTAACAATAGAACAAAGACTCGACATTCTAGAGTGTACACTCGATAGAGGATTTGGTTGTGTTGCTAGCCTAGTGGTTAGCGTCTCGGACTTCGGTGCGGGAGGGACGGGTTCAATCCCCGGCACATCCACCAAACATTTATCTCGTAACTCTCACAAAAATGCCACTGGCGTTGAAAAAAAAAGAGGAAATCAGTAGCGTACAGTGTTGCAAAAACATATCTTTAAGTGGAAACACTGGAAACAACAAGACAATTCAAGAAAGAGGTGTCAAATTCTTAATTTTGGTAGGGAAGTAATGTTGCAAAAGATTACCAAAATGTTATTTGTTGATTTTTAAGCGTTAATAATTAATTTAATAGAGTTATTTTAACATTTGATAATACATCCCATTGGTCCAGCCATTTTGTAGTCCAACCAGTGATCTAGGACTGAGATGGCCAAACTAGAGGGAGCTCCTACTGTAATGCTTTAGGTAATGTCTAGTATGAGGACAGGGTCAGATCTCAGATTCCAAAAACATCTTGAAAACTAGTATTTTACTAGTTGTGATGGAAAATGTCTGCAACAATCCCTCAAATGTCAAGTCTAAATAAAATATGCACATCAATTTCCGAATCCTGCCATTGAAATCTCTAATCCAAATTTAATGAGATTGAATAAAGTTGAGATTTACCTGAGGTAAGTAAACCACTAATTTGAGCAAATTAAAATAAAATATACAGCTTAGTCCTTAAATCTACATTTTATGTGGTGTTTTAAAGGGTATGACTATTAAACCAGTACTCTGTTCCTATAGAGATGCGATTCCTAGAATGTTAAGTGGGGACTGGTTCTAGACTGGTTTACTCTAGTTACTGTTGGAGTGAGACTCAGACAGTGAATCACATATTGAACAACTGCCTTATTCTATTAGCTTTTCCAACTTAGATGAAGTAGCATTGGCTTTGATAATAGTGCTAGATCGTGCCAGATACATTTGTGATGTTGTCAAATGTGGCAGGTTGATGGTTTCGCAAGTTAATTGTTATAATATACCAACCCTGTTTGTCAGCATCAGAATGCATGGACACGAATGCACTGATGGCTGGATACGTGATGCTGGAAATTGACGCTAGCAGTCCTGCGGCCCACATCATCCTGCAGCAAACATAACATTTACATTACTTCTTTTCAGAATTAGAAAACAATGCATATAACTGCTATTAACTTCCAAACAACCGAGTACCAGTATGAATGTCATTACCTTAGGAATCAAAATATACAACTTTGATACAGCAGACTCTCAAAAATAAAAACAAGTAAACTGTTGTAGTTTGCTTGTTTATAGATATATTTGGATCAAACTTGGCAAATCTATTTATTTTATACTAAGCTATTAACATTTTATTAAAAAACACACTTTATTACCCTCCTTGTAGGCAGCAACCTAGGTACTCGTTAAACCTAATGTTATTTGAATAGGTTTAATTGAAAATCAAATCAGGCAAATTGAAATTCGCTTAGTCTGCAGGTTTGCTGCGGTGGGGGTATTAATATATTACTAATTACAATTTTAAAAAGTAATATAATGTATTTTGTTGTGAAAAACTGACGTGTCATATGTTTACTGGTTATGATCACAATTATGTAAATTCTATGTGACAAATAAACATTTCATTTAATTTCATTTATTTTTTTGCATCATTATTAATTGTTTTCAACAATTTTTCACATTATCTGGTAGCAATATAGCAAACTGGTCACCGTTAACAGTAATACAACAAGTAAATTGTATTCTGAACTTCAAAAGGCATCTTAAATATTATAACTGAAACAACATACAATTAAGTTTCATAACGATATTTACTAAACACAAAGAAATTACCACTAAATGTCCTAATTAATCTAGTATTCATGTGTATGTTGGTGTCAGGAGTTTAATTTATTTGATGTTGGTTGTTTCCGGATTCAATTTTTTAGTCTTGATTTCGGTTTCTTTCGAGATTCAAAATTTCTGGTTTTGTTTTGAACATCACTAATGTACACTAGACCGTTCTGCAACTTTGCGCATATTAATTTGAGAGTAAATGGCCACTACCTCACGAGTCATAAAACACTAAATAGTAAAAACTGGTACAGGATTGATTTTGGACTTGGAAGCCATTCGTAATTAGTCTATTAGAGTCTCGGTTATCCAACCTTCCTGCGCAGTGCAACACTCAACAGGGATCGGAGGACCACGCAAAGATCTCCTTCCATCACAGCTCCATTGTCAACATATTCCATGGTCACAGCACTATCTTCAACATGCCTTGTGGTCACGGCACCATCTTAAGAACATTTTCTGCGATCTCCACACATTTGCCAACATGTGCAACACTAGCGCGGTCATCAATTCATCCCACGGTCACAGCCCGAACATTAAACTTATCATTTTCCATTTTATCTGATCTTTTCGGAGCTCCAACCTAGCCGCGGCCAAATGAGGTCAGATAATCAAGATTCTACTGTGATTAACAATAAAAACTAACTAAATGGTCAACATTTAGAGAGCATCAGGCCCAGAGTTAGAATCAATTGTCGTAAAAAATGACAATGGCGTAGAAAACACACAACAAAAATGTGTGGTTTGCTCAATGCAGAGAAAATAAATTAATTTTTAACAAAAAATATCACACATGGTACACAAATTTTAGCTCTCTCTTATATACTTATATGCTCTAAATGATAGACATACATGATAACATTATGCATATGATAAACTGACTTACCATGTTTGTGAGCCAAAGCCGTACCACATGAGTTGTAGCATTTCAAACAGTAGTCCCACCATGATGGTGTGTTTGCTGCCCAGTGAGCGCATCAGTATACCCAGCACTATCTGGGCACATACTGAGAGAATGCCTACCACGGCAATGAACACTGCCACCATCACAACACTGAACCCCATCACCTGTCCCAACAAGGATGATTTGAATCTGGATTGGGATACAGTAAACTCTCGCTCATCCGGATCGGCCTTGTCCGGACTCCCGCTAGTCCGGATCGGCAATCTTGATTTTTTTAGCGGCATAGTACAGTAGAAGTCCGATTATCCGAGCTAAACAGGACCGAGACTACCTCGGATAATCATTAACTCGGATAATACAGCGGTAAATATTATTACCGGTGGAACTGCATTTGCCCGGCTATCAATACTGTGGACCTGGAACAAAATTGAAAAAAAACTGCTATATACAGTACTGTATTTGCTCGACTCTCGATAGTCCGGATTTTTCGTAATCCAGACCGGACGTCCGCCCCATTAGTCCGGATGAGCGAGAGTTTATTGTATTTTGAAAGATTATGTGTACCAGAGAAAAATTATGAAAACTATCTACAGTAACCAACTGTATAGTATCTAACTGTCCAAACTCCAACTATGTGAATCCCCTTTTACCCAAATCTCTTCAAAAAGAATATTAAATACCTAAAAGTACAGCATCAGGATACTTTTTTATCTGCGAAATATTAGCAGACACGTTCTACGAACTAGAAGTATTAGGACAGTAAAAGCTTTGCTTGAACTCCATTTTTATCTTGGTGTTTAGTAACTCGAGCTTATACTAGACTTTTCTTAGTGTATTTCATGTACTACCCATGAGGTATTTTCTATAAAATGTCCAAATTTAGGAGTATTTCACATGATTCAAAATCGGATGGTTGGATTTAGATAATCGGAGTTCTACTGTAATGTTGAATTATATCCTGATTTACTGGAAGAATGAATAGAGAGATTCCTGAACAAAGTTTTTGGAAGAGAATTTAAACTATGATTTTAAGTTTAACTAGCTTTTTCCTACTACACATTCTATAGCACTGAGATTCAGGCAGGTAACTTAGTTCAAATTGTATATTTTATTTTATACTGTTATACTTAGTTAAGCTAACCTAAACAACACCTTAGTATTAGTCCGACTTACCAGTTTGAGATATACGAAGATGCAAGAATACTGACCAGCTTCAGGTAAGTAAGACAGGAACACAGTAACACACAACATGAGGATTGTGTGATCCTTGCCAACCTTTCTGAGGGACTGTAACACACCACGAGTACATCAATAAGGAATCTAACAAAATCAAATGAAATTCCCTTCATTCATGATAAATAAGGATTGTTTACTCCTGATATTTTGCAAGAATAATTGTGTCAAAACCTGTGGAGGAGAGAGGCAATAGTTGATTGAAAAATTACTTTGTAAGGCTGCATGGCCTTCTCTTTAAAATGTAGATAAATAAATATAAAAACCCTCTTTGTACACTTTTACGGTCTACACTGTTGTCGGCAAAGGTGATTATTGTAGTTAATAATTTAATTTTACAAGACAACCAACACAAAACACAGCTTACGATAAAATAACGTTTTGACGAAGAGGGTTTTCATATTTATACCAGGGGTCTGCGGTGCACCGAAAAAGTTGGTACGGTACGGTATTGGTCGAATTACCGCCATTGGTTCAGTACAGCATTATAATTGGTACAAATTCAGTTTGTACAGCCTATAGTAAATTTACTACTTTCAATTCCCTATTGTAGTCATAATGTAATTTTTCTCAAGTCAGAAATACTAGTAGTCGCATACCGAGCTGAATTTGTAACGAGAACCGAAGTACTACAAAATATTGTACCGTATCGACCTTTTATGTTTTCTGTACTGCAGACCCCTAATTTATAGGCCTACATTTAATTTAAAACGATGGTAGGTGAAAAAGGTTGGAAATCTAAGCACTAAAACCCTCTGGTGCACAACAAGGCTAAACAGGATAAAGTTACAGTACATGATAAAGTATTGTTTTAAAAGTCATGGTTGTTCTATGCTGTTACTATAGTATTTAAACAAAAAAATAAATAATCATGATTTAATTAATTATTGTAACTCACAGCAAACGGGTCTGCCTGCTCCCAGGATATCGGGGCCCCCCAAGAGTGTGGTCTGATTTTCTCCGGAAGACTCTCCGGTACTGCGACTAGAATGAAGAAAACATCGAGAAGAGCAATGGCTGTTGCCAGTGCGACCACCACGTTCTCACTGCAACATGTCACTTGGTGAGAAACTGACTATGGATATTGAAATGGTTATTACATTCTCATCAAAAATATACACTCATGCCACATATGAAAAATAAAAATCAACTAGCTACAGATAACAAGCATCATAGAATAGGCTACATTAGAATTACAAATATCTGAGGTCTGCAGCAGGGTCGGATTAGCGGCATAGTTTCATAGCACGGAATGTAATAAAAAAACCATTGTATATGTTAAAACCCATTAAATGAATAGTTTCTCTGTTGACTGGAGCTTCTCGGTTTGACCAAATTTCTCACACACTTCTAGAGTACAATCATACCGCAAATAAATAGGCCCCAGTTGTGTAGTACTGGATCATTACCATGGAGAGTTGGATAACACAAAATCAGAAAACTATAGATTGAAAGCCTTGTATTTTGGCTACAACCTCTGATGTACTCAGGCTTAAAATTGTGCACTTGTAAATGTGTTCAGACTCAAACATACAAATCTTCTTTATTAAAAAAAAAAATCAGAAAGCTAAGAATTGTAATAGTTTACAGTAAACTTTACTCAGTACACTAAAAAGTATGAACTCACCTATAGGCATCCATGAGATAGGCCCCTAGAGCAGGACTGATTACCATACTGGCTGCAAAGGTGGCAGATACCTGAAAAATGACAAGAAAAGTAAAAAAATACAGTCTTAGGCCTACAGGCTTTAATGTGAGTTATTGCATATTTTAACAGATTTAATGAACTTTTGTGTTTTGAACATGGAATCAATTAGATTGAATGCACCCAGGGCCGGCCTGAGGGGTGTGCGACTTATGCAGCCCCACACTCGAGCCTTTTGGAGGGGCAAAAAATTGACCATTCTTGATAAAAAATTTTTTAATTGAAATTGATTTAAATGTTGGACAGCAATATTTAAAATAGGAATTGACCATAAACTGTTACAGTTCAATTTCAAAGTTAAAACCAAAGATCTACCTCTCCCCTTCCCCACCTTAGTAGCCTGATGCCCATGACTAACGTCCAAGGTCAGTAGAGCGGCCGTCTACGTCTGTGTGGCGGGACGCGGGAAGGGTTGTGGTTGTGACATATTTCTACCTCCCCTTTCACGGGTGTTTTCTTTTTTTAGCCAGTAGCCACTGATATTTTTATTTCACCCATGAGATATGCAATTTATCGGTCTGGCTTACGGTGATTCCAGCTCCAGCATTACCTATTTATTCAGAGAGTACTTGCAATATAAAAATAAAAATAATTTAAAAGTGACTACGAAGCTTAACATCGTAATAGTGGTTTGAGATACAAAAAAGTATATAAACCTATCAAGTCAATCAATATTAAATCGAGAGAAAAAGATTTAATGTTCTAAAAGAGGCTCAAAAGTGAACAAAAAAAAATGTTTTTAGACCTTAAATTTCATAAATATTTCCCTAAAATTTCAAAATTACCCCCCTTTGACCTGCCGGTGGGGGCATGATATGTGAGTCTTGCACACTTGCAGTTCTTTTCATAGGCCGGCCCTGTTGCACCAATTATTACCGGACTGCATTTTAATCTAATTTAAGTTTATTTTTTAAAAGTGTCCCAAACTTTGTTCCGCAGTACATATTTAAGGCTATGCATGTAACTGTGAAGAATTCACTCCAAATTATCCAAATCTATTTGTTCAGATAAAAATTTAAAAAATATCTTATACTACCAAAATCACTTCCTTCAAAGCTATTTCTTCAGCTGTATTTAAAAGTTCACAAAATTAAAAGACAAAATAAAGCTGATTCATTCACAACTTTTTCTAGCAAACATAAAAATTGTATGTATGTTTACAAGTCAATACCTTTATTTAATGAACATCATATATTATTTTGTTTCAACAAAACATATTTTATGATTAAGTTCTTATTCTGTCCAATAGAGGCTGAACTATGATGTAGGCCTAGTTTCATACTTAAACCAATTACACTTACCAGTCCGTAGGCTAAGCTTCGTTCGTGTTCTTCCGTAACATCAGCAACGTACGCAAACACAACAGAAAATGTGACAGCAAAAACACCAGAGATGCTGATCATGGCAAAGAACCACCTGGAAAATGTTGGAAATCAAGATAAGATGATGTTTTTGTTACAAAACAGACAAACTACAGACAACCCATGAGTATACAACTCTGCAATAAAATTCTTTATAAATTTGATTTAGTCAAAAACAAAAAATCCCTCCACGATCGGACAGTTATCTTATCTCACTACCCTACCACCTTATGCTGCAGTAGGAAATAACTGTCCTGGAACAACATTAAAATAAACATAAATGCAAACCAATCAAATAGCCTACAGTTTAAGAAACATTTTAACTAATTGGAACATTGTCAACAGTATGTTTCAAACATAACAAGGGTCGTTTTGACAATAACTTGTGTAAAATTGTGACCAAATCCTCATAAACTTTCACAAACCTATCTAAAGTAATACATATTTTTTAACTAAGGGTAAAAACATAGTGGAGCGGCGAGGCTAGACGGTAGTGGAGAGCGTAGCCAAGCGGGTTTTGACCCCCGATGGTAGCGGCGCTTCACATGCACATAGTGGAGCGGCGAGCTTAGCGTGGCGAGCCATGAGGCTTGACTCTTCAGTCTGCAAAATGTCGTCACCCAGTGATGACGATTATTTGTTATTTGACAGCAGTGCGCTCAAAATGATTACTGTTTTGGGCGGTATAAGAAGTTGCGCGGTTCATCCAGTAAATAGGGAGCGTAAAGAGTTTGGAGAGTACCACCACCTGTTTCCACAATTGAAGCAATATCCGGATCGCTTTTTTCCAATACACTAGGATAGATTACAGCACTTTTGAATATATATTGAACCCGATCTCTCCTCATATATCGGTGAAATATCGGTACAACCAGCGCTGCTCGACTGAACCCTCGAGGTAAAGAAATCGGGGGGTGAATTCACGAGCGGAGAGGCTAGCGTGTTGACGCGGGAACCAGCGCCGCTCCCCGCTCCACTATGCTTTAGCGCGTCCAACTACGTGTATTGTTTTAAACCCGCTCGGCTACGCTCTCCGCTACCGTCTAGCTCGCCGCTCCACTATGTTTTTACCCTAAGAAAAACTTGGGTATCATACTCTATTTAAAATTCACTACATGTAGTAAAGGCTTGGCAAAACAAATCACAGTAGTGGCAGTTAAGGAGTAAATTTAAGTCGTTCAGACTATTTACTCTCTACTGTATGAAATATGTACACGTGCAACTTATTTTAAGGATGATACTAGAATCCTATGCTGTGTACACAAAAGATGGCTTACCAAGTGTTAATAGTCATAAGAGGTATAGGTGCACAGGTGAAGAAGACGGTGATGAGTAGAAAAAACTTGCGACCCCAGACATCTGAGAGGGCTCCAATCAGAGGAGCGCTCAGGAATGATAATAGTCCCTACAAGACATTTACTGTATAAGAATAACAAAGAGACAGACGGCTTGAAAATTGCCAGTGAAAAAAAAAATACTAAACATATTCAGCAGATTTTTATACAAACACACAAGTACTTGATATTAATTGTATCTCTATTCACAGAAGTGGTTTTGTGCGTAGCCAAAATACAGTGTTTTTCTTTTTTGGAGGTTAGTAGCTTCCTTTAACTTGCAGTTTCCCATTCACACATGCATCCACACATTGGGCCTGTGCGTAGATAGTACTCAGTAAAGCAAGGAGTGAGCAGATAAAGTTCAAGAATGAGCTGTACCATGGCATCTTCTAATACAGGGCTGCGGCGAGACAAAAGTGGTAACACCGATGTCCCAACACACCAAAACAGCTGTTATACTAATCTATATATAAAAGGAGAGTGTGTGTGGGTATGTACCTCGTTTTCTCCATGACCACTCACTCATGTTGTAGTAGCATAGACTATTGAAGCTCGTTTTCGTGTCTAATTCATATCCGGTGACACTATTGGCTAGTGTCGACGAAATTTTGGTTTCTATTATTTTAGAGTTAAATTTCATGATTTGTGCTTTACTGTTTAATTATATAACTAGAGTATGAGTTATTGTTTATGATTAGATTGTATAATTTGGTTAAACGAGGTTTAAAATGTGTGAAATAACAAGAAACAAATTGTTAACAAAACACAAAACCTAAAGTGCACTGGACAGAACTAAGGATAAAATTAGCTTCAGTTGTTCCAAAAGGATGAGAAATCTACTAAGAGAATATGTTTTAACTATGGTAGTAGTAGACTGCCACTGAGATGCACTCCAAAGTAAGACGATTTCCACTTTGATCATTAATTTGGGCTCTGCCCCACGGGCTTTCAAAGATCCGAGGTGAGGTTTTTCAAATGTAAAATTGATTGGATTTCATGGTTGGTAACCATGACAACACTCAAAATGTTTGAAGAGTATAGGCAATGTTTATGTTTGCACTTTTCTTATTACCATGGCAATATGTATGACACTGCGACGTTGTCACACACCAACGCTGTGGCCTTGTATTAGAAGAGGCTATGGTTGTAATGATAAATTTTAATGGTTACACGAGGTTGCACAACTTTTTCATTGTTGCTAAGGATTTGTCTGTAATGGTACCAACTGAGCCACAGAATCAACTAAAAAATATATATATGTAATTTAACTCTACAACCTGGTCTAAAGGCAATGGCACAAACTTTAACTTTTTCTTCCACCAGTGCTGAAAGGCTGGACAGAACAAACCCATGTCGGAGACTTACAAAATGTCAGAAGACCTCTTACTTTTCATTAAACCACCGACTAAAAAAATACTTAAAAGTGACACTTAATCTAAATCAGTGTCTACGTTTATATACCATAAACGTCTAAGATATTAAACTCAGGCTTAAATATTAGGCTACTTACTTTGATTCCCATTATGAGTCCGTTCATCAGGAATGTATGGTCAGGAAATGTGTCATTGAGGGTCTGAAAAAAGTCAATTAACAACTTAATATGTTTGAAGGCTCAAAATAAAATTGGCTGTTGTGTATCACAACTCTTGAGATAATTTACAGAGTAAATGTTTAAAAGGGAAGACAACTCAGTATTCATATATGCAAGAATGAATTTGTGTAATAGCCTCTCTTTAAAACTTTCAACTTGAATATTTGTTAAAAGTATCATGATTATGATAAGAAAAGTTGTTAGGTTAAATTTACGATAAAATCTGTGGCGGAACTTTGACATCCGAACTTGAAGTCATCCTTATGCACTAAAAGCTGTTTTAAATTTGTTTTTAAAACTTAAAGGAAACAGGTGCTCTAATGCAATAGTAGTACTAGTGACAATCGGCGCATGTAATTACCATCAAACTAAACAAACAATGACAACTGGCGTCACCGAGCATCTGATTTGCGCAAGAACAGTCTTAACTAAAACCACCTCCAGTTTTACAATCAAGATGGTACCTATTGCTCTTGTATTTTGGTTGTTACTTGTGCACTGGCATTTGGACAGGGAAGTTGAAATCCCATCTATATGGACCAGCCGCAGCCGCAGCCACTAATTTAGTCAAATAGAACATGGTTGAATAAGCTTCTTACGCTGTGCTACTATCAAAATTATTTTCTCTCTTAGGTTATTGTCATTATGACAATTGATGTGAAATTAAAGAAGCTGTATTTTACAATATGTTTCAGTTTAGCTTGGTTATGAGTGGATATATAAAAAAAACATTATTATTATTAGCAATCAATTGGCAAAACCCAAATAACAAATTTAAAAATCCATTTTAATTAATAATTTTACAACCTTCAACCCCTCAAAACATATGTCAGTACATCCACATACTATTAAATTTATATTTTACCAGACCAAAAAGTTGAGAAATTTTAATTTAGTCTAACATGTTTTTGTAACCTTTGCGATCACAGGTCATTTATTTTATAATTTCATGTAGGAAACATAAATTATTGACAAACTGATTTTAAAAAAAATCTCTGGTGGACACAATCCTTTTAAATATTAGTTAGGCCTACTACAACAAAAAAGTGTGTATTGGGCTCAAAAGAACCGTGGACTAGATTAAGCACTAACTAAATAAAGCACCCAATGGATTTTCTACAGTAGGCCTGTGACTAAAGTGTTTAGTGAATAGAGAAGACAAAGGAATGTTTGTCAAGTCTGTTGAAAATGACTTTGTGCAGGTGGTACTCTACACTGATCATATCAACTGTTCAAATTTGACAAATGAAAAGATTAAAAATATAGGCCTTCAGGTCTGCCTGACTTGATGGTGGTTCTAGGTGCAATAAATTTACTTTTTTAATCAGTATTACAAGATGGCCTTATTGTGTTTGACCAAAATTTTTTTTGAAAATGTTTATTGAACGTGTGTATTACAACTTTCCTTTGAAAATTATATACACAGATAAGGTTTGTTCATTACAGTTACCCTATACAGATTTTCAGCAAGGAAAATAGTATTTCAACTGAAAGATAACTAAAAATAATGTAAAACCCATGTAAGTAACTATACATACTTCAGGCCAAAATTCAACTCATCACTATTAAAACCATCAATTTCTATCCCTTGCAATAAAAGCAAAGTTTTTAGCACAGAACAGTGTTGTGGCAAGTGATATCTATACAGTAGTCCCATGTTGTAATAAAAAAATTTGTTTATGTTAATGTTAAAAAATGTTTATGTGGTACTCGGTAGATTTGACTTACGGAAATAATGGGCATTGTCAAGAGGCCCCAGGCGAAGAACTCCAGGAAAATAACCACCAAAGCATGGTACACACTTGGTTCTCCAATCCCAGAGCTCTAGAATTAAAGGAATGTAAAATCAGTATTTATTGACGATACAGGATATACAATCTAAGGACAAACCTATTCATCGCCGGAAGAAATTTACTTATTTCAACCGTTGAAAGTTTTGGTTATATGAGGGTTAAGTTCAGCAAACTCCCATTGCGACACAAATCTAAGCTGATTCTCTAACTTAACCCTATCACATTACTTCCTTGACTACTACTAACTGATCCCCACCACCATGCAGCATTCAGTATCATAGAAGTAGCCGTAAACGATCACAGAGAAAATACAATCATTGCTTGTGAATTAAAATCTCCAACAAGCTCGAGATGCAGCCAAGCAAGCTAGTCCAAATCTGAAAAAAGTTTTGAGTAATTTATTTACCTTTAATTTTATCATGTCATCAACAAATATACAGGGTAACTTAACCTTAGACTAACCAACACAACAGACTTCTCATCCCATTGTAAAATTTGAAGCTGGTTTTTCGTATCTAGTTCATGTTTGTGACACTGATTGTAGTGTCAGCTCTTCCCCTTTTCAGCTCTTCCCCTTGTTTTTATCATTAGCAAATAGCAATAAATAATCTTATGAAACATAATTCTGTACTACTTAGGACAGACACGATAACTTAAGTAATTTTTATCCAATTTTGATGATATTTGGTTTTTCTAATTTTTGACCAGCTCAAAATAGGTTTTACTAATTTTTGACCCTCCAAACATAAAATTTCCCAATTTCTCTCTAGACTTTCTTAAAGAGCTTAAAAAAACTATTAATTCAGTATATCAAAATGTTTTTATACGGTTATTGGTTACGGAGAAAACTCAAAAAATTGTAAATTTAAAATTCCCATGTTATTCTTATGGAGAATAGGCCTATTATAAAATATTGTAGTTTGCTTGTTTATGGATATACTAGCTGTACCCACGGGCTTTGCCCCGTTTTACTTAATAAGTGAGCTCGTTCGCATGGCTCAATTACGTCCTGGTTGAAGTTCGTTCGCTACGCTCACTCACCTATTGGTTGGAGCTCGTTCGCTGCGCTCACTTGCCTTCAGGTTAGCTCGTTCGCTACGCTCACTCACCTTTCGGTTGCAAATTAGCTGTAGTCGTAAATTTAAAAAAATAGTGCTGCACCCTGTTGGTAATCCTTGTAACTTAAATGCTATTGCACATCATAGAAAAGAACCAACTTGTTTAATTGAAACAGCTGTTAATATTCATTAATTCCATTTAAATATGAGTACTCATAAGGTTAACATGGGAAACTCCAGAGCCACTGGGGCGGAGCCCGAGAGTCCGATCAGAATAAAAATAGCTTAGTTTTCCTATTTAATGCCTAAAGAATCAGTGTACCAAATTTCAGCGTCCTAGGTAAATGGGAAGTGGGAGAATTAGTGATGAGTGAGTGAGTGAGTGTGTCAGTGAGGGCTTTGCCTTTTATATATTTAGATTTTGATCAAACTTGGCAAATTTATTGATTTTATTTTAAGCTATAATTATTTTACTAAAAACACACTTTATTGAAAGTTATTTCAGGCAAATTGAAATTCGCTTAGACGGCAGGATTGCTGTGGCGGGTGTATTTGATATATAATGATATTGAATTTTTCAAGCCCATATACCGATATTAACGAATTGAAACATCAGCTGAAAACTATGATAAATAAATATTGTTTAATATCAACAAACAATAATTAACAAAATATATATTATTGAAATGAAATTGTTCTAAAGTAACCTTATCTAACTAAACTTACTGTATAACATTTCAAAATTCCGTTTGATATTCCCCATATGCCTTTTCTGTTATTGAACAGACTTTAGGGTAAAACTGAACTTATACTAGGCCTACTTACCTATGTTATACTGAATTTTTTTTATCTTATCCACCAAAATTAGGCTTGTTCAATATCAAACGATTACAAAATATATATATTGAAATGAAATTCTAAAGTAACCTAACTTAACTAGGCCTAACTAAACTTGCTGTAACATTTCAAAATTCCGTTTTATATTCCCCATATGCCTTTTCTGTTATTAAAAAGAATTTTTGGCAACTTACTGTAACCTACTTTTTCTACCTTATCTCCCTACTTATCTACCTTATCCTTATCTATCTACTTAAAGGTACAATGTTCAGGTCATTGTCTCTAACCTGCCTGTTTTGCAGACGGACCCTCTGGCCTCGATTAAAGACATACAACCAGCACTCACACTAACAACTTTGAAATGAAATGAAATGGAAAATGTCTTTATTTAAGAGGCGAAGTTAGGACTAGCAAGTCCTCTCTACCACTTAACCTCTAAAACATAAATAAACTATCCACTTTATAAATAAAATTAAATAATCTAAGGTACCATATTATAAGGAAATAGGTGAGTACTCATGATATCATATCAATACAACAATTCTAGAAGCCAAGATATTTACGGAGTGTCCTGCGTGGCCCTAAAGGCTCTTATTGATTCTTTAGTTGTACCCCTCACTAGGTTAGTGAACCTATGTCTCAGTAAAGGTTCATTCCAGATTTTTTTTTTAAACGGCTAGAACCCTACCCGTCCATAAGAAGGGTGATGTTTCCACTTTGTCTAATTTTAGGCCTTTCCATTCTACCTGTGTTTTCAAAGATACTCGAAACCATAATGAAGAACCAACTCATGTCGTTTTTTGATGACAATAGCCTGTTTATAGATGCTCAACATGGATTCAGAAAAGGCCGCTCTACCACCACCGCCCTTCTGAGCCTAGTCAACACCAACTCTGAAGCATTTGAGCAAAATGAGTCTGTGCAGCCTCTGCAACTTAAGCAAGGCTTTTGATGTAGTAGCCTACCTAACGATATCCTCGTGCTAAAACTAGGCAAGTATGGCGTTGGCGGTGTTGTTCTCAAGAGCCTCTCAAACTGTCTGAGGGACCGTTTAAGCAAGTTGTGACTCTGCGAGGAGCCCTTTCCAGAATAGGCCATCTCTCACACGGTGTGCCACAAGGATCTGTCTTAGGCCCTCTCCTCTTTACTATAATGATTAACGACCTTCATCTGAATGGGAGAACATTATTATTTGCAGTCGATACAAGGCTGCTGACCAGAGGTGTCAATATTCACCAACTGCCAACAGAGGCTGAAGACCTACTCGAGAGAGCCAAGGATTGGTTTGTTGTAAACCGCTTGAAAATCAATTATGACAAAACCCAGTCCCTGTTACATTAGGAAATTCTACTCTAAATTATGTGTTATTGTGTCCTAAGTTTGTACATATTAACTTTTAAATTAGCCTATGTTTTTTTTTTTATTTAATATAGGTATAATTATTTTTAAGGAATAGTCACCCTTTATATTGTAATACATGTTTTAATTAGACAAGTAATAATTATTGTATATCCACAATGTAACAGATAGGTATGGTTTATAGCAGATTTATAACTCTTTCCGCACACGGGCTTTTAAATTCTGAAATGGTTATTTGAATATGCTGTCATCCTACATAGCTTTAAATAGAAAATAGTATTAGCTTTAAAGCCTGACACTTGTTTAGACTAATTTGACGAGATCTATTGTAAACAATGTAGGCTATTTACTTAATGGTCAATAAATTTTGTATTCTTATTCTTCTTATTCTTATGCATATGCGGAAAATATATTTCTTTATAATTTATATCTGTGTAGGTATTGTATTGTCTAATTCTGGAAATAAACGATTTGACTTTGACCCTGGTCTGTACGCTGAAGCGGAGAGTAGAGGAAGATGGCACTGTAAAGCTTCTGGGATTCACATTAGATACCAGGTTAAGTTGGAGCGAACCCATCGCGTGGATATGTGTCAAGTTATCTCGTGTACTCCATCTTCTAAGAAAACTTACGCCCCGAAATTCCTAAATCATCTCTTCTATCTGTGTACTACGCCTTATTTCACAGTCATGTGACTTATGGGCTGGTACTGTGGGAGCACTCCACTGCAGCTGAGGATGTAGGCCTACTGCTTTTACAAAAAATGGCCTTGAGGATTATCACATCTGCTGAGTATTTGGACCATTGCCGGCCAATCTTCAAGGAACTAGGGGTGCTCACAGTAGGCCTATATAGTAAGTAGGCCTATGTTCTTGATATCCTGATCCTACTATAGAAGAATAACTTAAGGGTTTACAGTAAGAGAGAGGAGGTGCACGAGTAGGGTACTGTACTAGGAAGGCCCAAAATATCGACTTCCCCCGCTGCCGTCTCAGTCGCACCTCGAGTTGCTATCCTTGTTCAGCGATTAAAATCTATAATACTCTACCTAACCAGAGATAGCGGGAGATGGATGCACCCTCCTTCAAGAGGGCACTAAAAGGGATACTTGTAAATAGACCGCTCTACTCCCTTAAAGAACTTGAGGATGAGCCCCTCGCAAGATAGTGTATGTTCGCCATGCCATCCAATTGACGGCCAAGTTTTTTTTATAGTAGCCTAATTTATGGTTTTGTAATTTATTGTACAATATAGTTTTATTATAACTTATTATAAATTATGACATAATCTATCAGACTAGATCTGTCAAAGAGGCAGGATTCAAGTATGCAAGTAAGTACCTAAGTTAAGAAAAATTAGGCTATTTTAAGCAGGCTTTTTACCTTAGGCACTTTTGGGGGAAACGACGATTTTACCCTGAAAATCGCGTTTGAACATCGCCAAAAACGCTTGAAATCAATGATTTTAAAGGTTTGAAAATTGTCTAATGAAGGTAGCCTAAATTAATTCTGTTCATAAAATAAAATTATAAATGCCAAAAATTCTAACAAAATATGGACAGACATGGCATTCAAAGCAAAATATTTTACAAAAAGTTTAAGTACCAATTGGGATTCGAACCAGGAACCTGTTGCATATCAGCCGAACACTCTATCCACTACACCACAAACACCGATGGCTGTAATTCATATGATTGTGGTACTGGTGTTCCGGGCCCCCACAACCAAGTGACGTCACTGCCGGACGCCTGGATTCTATGTCCAGTTACCGGACGTGTATCCTCTGTGAATTATTTTAGCCTACGTAGGCCTGTAAGCTACCAAATTTATAAAAAATCTATGAGGTTGGCTGCCCGATTTAACTTAAAACTGTATGAAAGAAATACAGTATGCTAGCTTAGTCTAGGCCGACTCAGGAAACAATTAATTAGCCTAAGTAGGCTAAGTTAAGTAGAAACACAATAAAAATCGGCTGCACTTTACTTTAGGTCCTACACTCATTCGAATGAAAGAATCGAATAGTAGATATTTTCATTCGGTTGTTTGTGTAGGACCTAAAGTAAAGTGCAGCCTAAAAATCAAGTCTTTATAGAATAAAGCATTGTAAAACTAACAGGTAGGCTTAGGCCTAAAAAACCATGGATAACGAATTTCAAGGTAACTTAATCTGAAATGTATGGAATAAAAGGATAATACTGAAATTTGTTTTCTAGTAACTAACTTAAGCTTCTGCTCGCAATTAAAACATTTTGAATGTTTTGAAACTATTAGATCTAAGCTATTACTTTAAATTAATAAAAGATTGATCATAAAAGAGGTTACAATTCTTTTTATGCATATATTTCGGCATGCTTATTTCAAGGTTGACAGATTAGCAGATTAGGCCTGCTTTACGGTGAAATAGTAAATGAATCAGGAACATACCGTCATAACACTGTCTTTTAAAATTGGTTTCCTGCTTCTTATGATCATCCCGACGACCTTCTTAGGTGTCTTCGAAGGCATATTTAATTGACTTAACAGCTCAATGTCAGTATACAATAAAAAATAAAATAATATCCCATAGTTTAAGAATTTTCAATCGCATTAGCATTTTACACCACTTCGTAGGCAAGTAGCAGACATAGACGCTTTTTGCTTTTTACATTCAGTCAGATTCAGACAGAAGACAGCGATACAGGTGACAATAGAGAATGAAAAAAATAACAATCGATTGGATAAGTCAAAGCCTGTAGAATTTTATTTCATAAACCTGTAAAATCCTTTAAGCTACATACATCACTGAGCTATAATTCTAACTGGAGGTAGCACTGAATGTCAAAGATGCGTGTCGCCAGCCGCCATGTTTGCGTGAGTCTGGTGTCATAAGAAGCCATATTATTGCTATAACTATTATTATACTTGGCTTAAAATACCTACTTTGTATGGTCGCCATTTCAAAGAAAATTGTTAAAGTATTAAAAGTATTCAAGTATGACAAAAATACTCACTGCTATACCAACCTAGTTATAAGAAGCCATGTCATTGCTATGATAAGAAAACTTACTTCTATACCAACCTAACAAAATCAGCGACACGCTTTTGGCAGACTTCTGCCATGGCAGTGCTACCTCCAGTTATAATTTTAGCTCAGTGACATACACGTATATAGACGGTATATGTAGCTCACTTAGCATAAACCTAAGGGAGTAAGTTTTATATGGTTTTATCTATGCATAAACTAAGTGGCGTTTGAAGACGCGTCCACAAAATTGAGCGGAGTCATTACATCATATTGACAATGACCCTCACCATCAAGATTCATAATTATTTTTATCTACAGTATCAAATACTGTAGAGAACAATTTGTGAAGGGATACAAATTAAGGGCGATCAAAAGAGCTGCATACTATATCCATAGATAAAACATACTCCCTTAGTAGATTTCTCATCCTTATGGAACAGCTGAAGACAATTTTATTGTTAGTTCTGTACGGTTTTCTGTAGAGGTCGTGTTTTGTTTACAATTTGTTTCCCGTTATTACAGCCATTTAAAACCTCGTTTAACCAAATAATACGATCTAATCATAAACAATAACCTGTCCCCTAGTTATATAACCACACAGTAAAGCACAAATCAAGAAATTCACCCTAAAATAATAGAAACAAAATTTCGTCGACACTAGTGCCCAGTGTGGCGTACATGAACTAGACATGAAAAACGAGCTTCAAAATTTACAATGGGATGAGAAGTCTACTTGTGTTGGTTAGTCTATGCTATATCTCAGAGAAAAGAAGCAATTTTTTAACACATTTTTTATCTACATCCGGTATTAAGCAATATAACCAATAGAGTCTTAAGACCAATACAAAGTATAGTTGTGAACACAACACAAAGTATAGTCACTAGCCAACACAAGTAGACTTCTCATCCCATTGTAAATTTTGAAGCACATTTTTCGTGTCTAGTTCATGTACGTGACACATGGGCGCTAGTGTCGATGAAACTTTGTTTCTATTATTTTAGGGTTAATTTCTTGATTTGTGCTTTACTGTTTGGTTATATAACTAGGGGACAAGTTATTGTTTATGATTAGATCGTATTATTTGGTTAAACGAGGTTTTAAATGGCTGTAATAACGGGAAACAAATTGTAAACAAAACACGACCTCTACATAAACCGTACAGAACTAACAATAAAATTGTCTTCAGCTGTTCCATAAGGATGAGAAATCTACTAAGGGAGTATAGTATATTTTATCTATGGTCTTGTACTTAACAAACACATGGGAACAAAATAGCCTTATGATATCAGTGAAAATATTTGGAGCAGAAGGAATAAAAAACCCACTAAAAAACCTTAATCTGTTGCTACATGGTTAGCAAACCAAGCTAGCTGTACACGCAAACTAGAAAAGAAGAAGGAGAAGAAGAAGACTCAATGTTTTGGGATAGCGCTGGGTTCACAACGATATGGTAGGCATTCGGTTAAATATCGAGCTTGTTTTCTACCGGATGACAGACATCGACTTTTAGTATCGGCAATCGGCATCGGCTCTCTGGCTCACCGCACCGGCTGTCTCATACTCATGGTGGAATAGTAATAGTAAACTATTGCCTTGGTGCCTTCTGCTGCAGCTGCTCCTATAGCTCCTATGTCTGTCGTCAAACGTCATAATGTGGCCTTGACGACGGAAGGCCATAATTTTATTCACAATATTACAGTGAGAGTGAATGCAAATAAATAAGTACAACATAATATCTGAACCTGGCATAAAATTTAGGTCCGTGAAGTTGGCGTACCCATATTAGCGTATCCACTTTTGATCATTCCAATCGTTAGTTCATCGTTAGTTCTCGATAGTTCCCAAATTTTGTCGTTAGTTCTCAAAAAATAAAAAAGTTATAGCCGATAATAAGTGGGTACGCTAACTTCACACTTCCGGGTTCTAGCGCACGCCGTTTCCTGATGAGAAATGTTTACATCTATATATCAATCGTTAGTTCTTCGTTAGTTCTCGATAGTTCTCCAATATTAACGTTCGTTCTAAAAAAAAAAGTTATACATACAAAGTGGGTACGCAAACTTTACAATCATACAATTTCCAGCGGGCACAGTTTTCTGACTATAAATGCTTATATCTATATCTACATGTGTCTACACACATGTGTTGTTTTCCCACCAACTGTTCGTTTCGAAAATGGCAAAAATATTCCTTCACTTTGTTGTGTGCAAAAATACCGGCAATGAACGGAAAACACGAGCACGAGCATTTGCTGTCATACTACTCGCGATTCGGCGAGTTGCTGTTCTGTACTTTGCGTGGGTACAGTCTGGAGCCGGCTAAAGGCGTGGGACTTGAATAAAATCCCCTTTTTTCAAATCATTAAACTAAATTTCAATTAATATTTTATTATAACTAATTTATCATAAAATAACAATATTTATTCTCGGTATATATTAATAACCTAACACTTTTAATTTTGAACGTATTTTGAAACTGTTAAATAACGATGCTGTGAATGTTTGAAAGAATAGTTGAGGGTACGTTTTTGAGAAAGATCGAGAACTAACGAAGAACTAACGATTGGTATATAGATATTAGCATTTATAGTCAGAAAACTGTGCCCGCTGGAAATTGTATGATTGTGAAGTTTGCGTACCCACTTTGTATGACTCGTAACTTTTTTTATTTTTGAGAACTAACGTAAATATTGAAAAACTATCGAGAACTAACAAAGAACTAACGATTGGTATATAGATATAAGCATTTTATTCAAAAAACTGTGCCCGCTGGAAATTGTATAACTGTGAAGTTAGCGTACCCACTTTGTATGCCTCGTAACTTTTTTTATTATTTGATAACTAACGTTAATATTGGAGAACTATCGAGAACTAACGAAGAACTAACGATTGGTATATAGATATAAACATTTTTAGTCAGAAAACGGTGCCCGCTGGAAATTCTATAATTGTGAAGTTAGCGTACACTTTGTATGTCTCGTAACTTTTTTATTTTTTGAGAACTAACGTTAATATTGGAGAACTATCGAGAACTAACGAAGAACTAACGATTGGTATATAGATGTAAGCATTTTTATTCAAAAAAGTGTGCCCGCTGGAAATTCTATAATTGTAAAGTACCCACTTTGTATGCCTCGTAACTTTTTTATTTTTTGAGAACTAACGTTAATATTGGAGAACAATCGAGAACTAACGAAGAACTAACGATTGGTATATAGATGTAAGCATTTTTATTAAAAAAAGTCTGCCCGCTGGAAATTCTATAATTGTGAAGTTGGCGTACCCACTTTGTATGCCTCGTAACTTTTTTATTTTTTGAGAACTAACGTTAATATTGGAGAACTATCGAGAACTAACGAAGAACTAACGATTGGTATATAGATGTAAGCATTTTTATTAAAAAAAGTGTGCCCGCTGGAAATTCTATAATTGTGAAGTTGGCGTACCCACTTTGTATGCCTCGTAACTTTTTTATTTTTTGAGAACTAACGTTAATATTGGAGAACTATCGAGAACTAACGAAGAACTAACGATTGGTATATAGATGTAAGCATTTTTATTCAAAAAAGTGTGCCCGCTGGAAATTCTATAATTGTGAAGTTGGCGTACCCACTTTGTATGTCTCGTAACTTTTTTATTTTTTGAGAACTAACGTTAATATTGGAGAACTATCGAGAACTAACGAAGAACTAACGATTGGTATATAGATGTAAGCATTTTTATTCAAAAAAGTGTGCCCGCTGGAAATTCTATAATTGTGAAGTTGGCGTACCCACTTTGTATGCCTCGTAACTTTTTTATTTTTTGAGAACTAACGTTAATATTGGAGAACTATCGAGAACTAACGAAGAACTAACGATTGGTATATAGATGTAAGCATTTTTATTAAAAAAAGTGTGCCCGCTGGAAATTCTATAATTGTGAAGTTGGCGTACCCACTTTGTATGTCTCGTAACTTTTTTATTTTTTGAGAACTAACGTTAATATTGGAGAACTATCGAGAACTAACGAAGAACTAACGATTGGTATATAGATGTAAGCATTTTTATTCAAAAAAAGTGCGCCCGCTGGAAATTCTATAATTGTGAAGTTGGCGTACCCACTTTGTATGCCTCGTAACTTATTTATTTTTTGAGAACTAACGTTAATATTGGAGAACTATCGAGAACTAACGAAGAACTAACGATTGGTATATAGATGTAAGCATTTTTATTCAAAAAAGTGTGCCCGCTGGAAGTTCTATAATTGTGAAGTTGGCGTACCCACTTTGTATGCCTCGTAACTTTTTTATTTTTTGAGAACTAACGTTAATATTGGAGAACTATTGAGAACTAACGAAGAACTAACGATTGGTATATAGATGTAAGCATTTTTATTCAAAAAAGTGTGCCCGCTGGAAGTTCTATAATTGTGAAGTTGGCGTACCCACTTTGTATGTCTCGTAACTTTTTTATTTTTTGAGAACTAACGTTAATATTGGAGAACTATCGAGAACTAACGAAGAACTAACGATTGGTATATAGATGTAAGCATTTTTATTCAAAAAAAGTGTGCCCGCTGGAAATTCTATAATTGTGAAGTTGGCGTACCCACTTTGTATGCCTCGTAACTTATTTATTTTTTGAGAACTAACGTTAATATTGGAGAACTATCGAGAACTAACGAAGAACTAACGATTGGTATATAGATGTAAGCATTTTTATTCAAAAAAGTGTGCCCGCTGGAAGTTCTATAATTGTGAAGTTGGCGTACCCACTTTGTATGCCTCGTAACTTTTTTATTTTTTGAGAACTAACGTTAATATTGGAGAACTATTGAGAACTAACGAAGAACTAACGATTGATATATAGATGTAAACATTTCTCATCAGGAAACGGCGTGCGCTAGAACCCGGAAGTGTGAAGTTAGCGTACCCACTTATTATCGGCTATAACTTTTTTATTTTTTGAGAACTAACGACAAAATTTGGGAACTATCAAGAACTAACGATGAACTAACGATTGGTATGATCAAAAGTGGATACGCTAATATGGGTACGCCAACTTCACGGACCTATAAAATTTGCCAATGAAAATGTTTATTATCCAATTACAGTAAGGCTGATAACCAGCATGATAAATATATAAGAACTTTAATTACGGAGGAATTTTAAAATTAATATTCCAGTAACTTGCGCAATTAACGCCAGATAAATTACCACCCCCTTACTTTTAAAAGCGTTTAGATGACCTTTGCATATTTCCTCCATAATAATGCACTATGCACCATGAAACTGATCAAAAGGAACAATGTTGGAATAAATTTAATCAAATATTTTCCTCTCCTTTTAGGCTAGTGCTAGTAGTTTTTGTAATCTCTTGTCTTCTCTCTTCTGTCTGTCGAGTGTCGGTGTTGGTTGGTTTGGTTTTTTTTAACAAAGTTTATTTACAATCTGTTTTACATTAAACAATTAAAAATTAAATACGATGACATTTTTATTAGGCCTAATAAAATAAAAATTGGAAAACATGAGTTAGCAGCTAAACTGGTTTGTTTACGTTTTGGTTGGTTGGTTGGCGATATGGAAGCCAATCGATTTACGATATTCGATAGTAGCTGTTTTCATACTACGACGATCGATACTTAACCGTATGCCTACCATATCGTTGTGAACCCAGCGCTATCCAATGTTTTGCTGTAGCAGCTGTCAGTTTTGTTTTGTTTACTATACTATTTAGTATTTACTGTACTATTAACCAACTTAGTAAATTAATGTGAGTACAGTACCAACAAGTAAAGTTAGCACAGTTTTCGAAGAATAAACTTTCAATAATAGTAGTGTTATAACTTCCTGTCTTCAAATTCAGAACAATGGTGTACCTACACTTCCCGACCAATTTAACAGAAGAAGAACTCATGTTACAGGCTAAATACCAGAAGCTTAAAAGAAAGGTAGGTAATGTTTTTGTAGTTGTGTAGGCACATATTCATCGACTAAGTTATGATCGCTGAAACTACATCGTATCAAATTCACTAAAATGCAGGTAGATGGGCATTTTCTTCAATCTGAGCAAACCCTTTGAATCACACGTTACTCTTGATGAGCTTTCTTGTTTTGGAATTATGGGGCTGTAACTCAAATAGTTCAGGTGCATGCAGTTTGAACCGGGCACACTGCATGAAAAACTATGTGCACTATTATTTCGGTACCGAGCTACACCACTAAGTAGGCCTACCCCCAGCACAATTAATGTTTGGCAGGAACTTGAGAACAAAGCTAGATCTCTTAACCCTCCAAGTGTCCATAGTTTAGGCCTTAATGTCCACCTATTTTTGGCGCATTTGCAAGGTTTTATTAAAACGGATCTGAGAAGCTTAAAACAATGTTAATTCTAATTTTCTATATACCATTTTATTTGGAAAATCATGGGCTTCAATATCATACATAAAACATAAGGAATATTTGTTTCAAAAAATTTATTTAGGTAAAAATAAAATTATTTTGGAAAAATTGAAAAAAAATAAGTTTGCGCTCAATGAAATTGTTTAAATTATAGGCCTATAAATATTTGAAAATAGCCACTTTGTTCTAAATTTTATGAGGATTACAAATATATAATTATATAAGGAAGTAGATTTGCAAATAAATAAGTTATGGGCAAAAAACAGATTTCAGTACATAGCGTTTAGCTAAGAATGCATAGCCTAACCATAGCTAGGAATCTGGCTGATAATTTACATCAATATCACTACCTACTTCTTCAGGATCATCAACCAGCACTTCAAAACCACTTAAATCTTCTTATAATGCACCACGTATATCACTACTTTTGATTTTTAACACTAAAACAATGATAAACGTAATAAAACACATCAGTCATCGGTCGGAGGGTAACCTAGCTGTTTACAAATACACGCACGTCAGCTGTCTGCTACAATTATGATCGGCTCAGAGATCATACAGCGCTGAGACAGACCTCTGGAGAAAGCTTAGAATATTACGGAAAGAACGATACCTAACTCGATCCAGTTCAATCCGATTCAGTCAGTCATAGAGCCTTCGCCGTAAACGATGTCTGCGTGTCGAAAAATCGACAAGTAACACTACACAAGGTGTGCTGCTTGTCGAATTTTCGTCAAGTAACACTGGGAGGGTTAAGGCCTAGTGAAGATGACAAAAATGAGGCTCAACAACCAATATATTTAACAAGCATTACAATATTGGCGAGAGAGTACAGTCAAGAAATTATGCAGGATAAAATCTGTGGAAATTTGGAACTGTGGTGGAAAGACTAGGGCGACCTCACTACCTTGTAGAACTTGATGAAGGGTATGTAATCAAACGGCACCTCAATCAACTTCGAGCTTGTGAAGTGCCAAAAGATTCTACTTCTTACAAAAGCCCTCTACTTAGCTCATTGCAACAAACAAGGCAAGGAAGTCCAAACAGCCGATGTGACCCAATAGCCAAAGTTCCTCCTAAGCAAACACATCAAACTTTCATATTCCGAAACACCAATCAAAGATGCTCAAGACAACTGCCATTCATGGGAAAATCAAGATAGCCTCCGGCATGTTAAGTAAATTGTTGTGCAAAATTCAGAAAGTTCACATGATACTGAAAATTTGTTAAGTAGCACTTCAAGCGGGGAAGGTACTGCAGTCTCTGGAACATCGAGTCCTACAGTGAACTTTATGCTTAATGAGGGAAGGTGTTGTACTTTGGACCTATATGTACCTTGGACCTATACTCATTTTAGCACTATCTGTTGAGTAAAGGGAGAAAAGGGAAGTAAGGGGAACATTTAAATGTGTTTCTACATTTATTTCCTCTACTTTAAAATCAGTGGTCCAAGGTACAACATAGGTAGCCTATTGTACCTTGGTCCTAATGTTATAATTTTTTAATAATTGAAAATATATTTTTTGGGTGAAAATAAAGGGTTAAATAAAATATATGCATTGTGTTAAAGAACAATGATTACTTTTCACTAACATTTATTGTGTTTTAATGTGTCATATCAGAATAAAAAAATAAAAAGGTAAAATAGGTCCATGGTACAACACCTTCCCTACTGAGAAAAAAAAAACCAGCAGACAACAAGAGGCCCAGGAGCCGAGTTCCAGCAGACAACAAAACGCCGCATAGGCCTACTCACAACCAGATGCTCCCAAGATTCGGCTATCAACGAAAATCAGGAAACCCATCAAAAGGATGGATTTGTAAATGAGTTTTCTCTCAAATAAGTGGGGAGGAATTGTTATATATTTAAAACTCTCTCGTTTATTTTTAATATAATGACTGGATTAATTTTATATTGTAAATAATTCAATGTTTACTTTTCATTATAAACAAATAAACATGATTCAATAGTTGTGTTCATGTATTTGTACGAATTTATACTTAATACTTAACGAATTGGCTTAGCTGCAAAGTCCTGTAGCATTCATTTGTGCCATAAACAAACCTTCGATAGCCGCAATAGTGAGTTCCAATGAATGTCAATCTCTTGAAAACATCCTCAGTTTAGCCAAAAGATGTAGAGTCATGTTATGCCACAATTTATCGACCAATGCAGGATTAGTCAAAGGTGCTGTTGGCACCGTCCGCGATATTTTATACGAACGTGAAGAAGTCTTATCACATTTGGAAATGCAGCTTTTATGTTTATTAGTTGAATTATGATGACCCAACATTATGCAATACAGTGGTTCCGATTGTCCCTATTGTAACTAAATTTTGTAAACGTGACATTAATTGAATTCCCGAAAACAATTTCCATTGGCACCTGCCTATTCTCTCACAATTCACAAATTCCAAAAGGCAAGACCCTGAACCAAGCAGTTGTTGATATTGGACCAAGACAAATCAGTGCTGGGTTGACGTATTGCAGTGAGCCGCATCCGAACAATAGATGGACTGATTTTTGACCCAGGATTTCCAAAAGAAAATCTGATAAACATTAACTAAAATTTGATCTGAAAAATAAACTAGTAGATGATAAATGTTTAGTATGACAATGAAAACTAAAATGATTTTTTAGTTTTAGCACAGACTATTGACCAATTTGTCCATGGTTTAGTTAGAAATTTTCTCAGTCTTTAAAATTAATTTCCCAATTAATATATTTTTTATTTGATTTTTTTAGTTCTATAGGTTTTGGATATAAGAGAATGCTATTTCTTTTGTGTTTTCATTTGTATACTTATCATCATATAAAGTTAAACTGTTATGCAGTTATCCGTAGGTAAGCAAAATGGGTAGAAGCCGAAACTGTTTGGGTTGAATGTAATCACTAGCTGAAACTGTACCGCTCTGTTTGAGAAAAAAAGTAAATATACCATCCCAGAGGTTTTAAGCTTAAAATGCAAATGCAGGTTAAAAAAAACATATAATAACATCTCAGTAACAAGTTTTCCTCTTCACTAGGAAATAACTTTTAACTTTTTTAATCGCCAAAAAAAATTTTGCAAATCAATTTTTTCTCTATTTGAAATTATAGGTAAGGCCCCGGCCACACGAGGCGGTTTAACCGCGCGAAGTTAAGCCGCGCGAAGTTAAGGGGTTCGACAACACATTGAATCAAATGAGAGTGGCCACACGAGGCGAAGTTTAGCCGCATGTGCGTTTGAGCCGCAGTATGTCGTCCCCCGACCGCGCGAAGTTAAGCCGCGTTGGAGGGGATGACACACGTAGTCTTATGAGAGTGGCCACACGATACGGTTCGACCGCGCGGCAGCCGCGCTTATTGGAGATATTCTTCGGACATTTCCAGTGGTTTTTGAGTTTGTTTTGTGTATTTTTTACCGGTTGTGTGGTGTTCAAACAATGTTTGATACATATGAACTCCGAACTATGGTTTCGCATGTGCTCGTAAAAGGTTTGGAACACAAAAAAATTTTTTTTTCCGTTATGAAGGGATGGACCCAATGATTTATGTTAACGTTCCAGATCACCACACGCTTTTAATGCACAAACTAACATAAGTGTTTTGCCCATGACTAAAAAGAGTGAACTGAACTATGTTTTAATTAATAGAGTACTCATACTGGGAAACCCCAACAGGAAGCGGTTCATCCGCCCCGTGTGGCCAGGCACTTCGCGCGAAGATAAGCCGCCCGGCTTAAATTCGCCTCGTGTGGCCGGGGCCTAAAAATCATTTTGAAGCTTAATAGAATCCGCTAATGACTCCGCTCAATTTTGTGGACGCGGCTGTGAACGCCACCTAGTTAATTTAGTTTCTGAAATTCTTAACTTTAGAAATTTTTGAAGCATGGAGCCTCTGAACAAATCAAATATTAAATATAAATATTATAATAAATCTTTATTAAACATCAACTTGCTTACATTTGACATGTAATTGTTGCAGAAAAAGGCTTTACAAGCCTTAAAAGCTCCAAGACCTGAACCAGAGAGAACTCCAACTCCCAAAAGGCCGATGGAAGCACAAAATGCAAAAGAAGTTGCGAAAAAGTTGTTGAAATCTGGTGCCATCACTGCCATTCCCCGCACTCCGAAGCGTCCGGAACAGGCTGGGTTCAAGAGACCTAGAGGATTGGAAAGAAAATTGTCAGGGGCCGATAGAACTGTGAGCGGCTACCAACCATTCTCCGCGACTCAAATGGATGATCAGGATTCAGAGACTATGCGCCCAAGAGTTAACGTAAGTATTTTGTAAGGATATTTTAAATATAAGTTAAACTACTTTTAGTTGTGTTTTTATGAGTCTTTTATGTTTTCTCTGGCCTATTTGTACTTCTTCTAAGGTAAGCTAGTTGCTATCCTCATTATTCCACAATTCAAAATCCTGGCCTTGCATACAGTAACACAATTCTACAGTAACATAATTCTGAAACCTAGACTTGAATTTTCCAATCTTCAGCTGTCCAATCTTGTGTCGTCAACCCTACCTGCAGACGATAGAGTTTTGTGAAAATGTGTGTCGTTTCAATGTGGGATGACTTTACACTAAAGCAATTAAGTACATGAAACCTTCCTGTCTGTTATCCGAAGGTACACGTCACTTGACCTTTCTTATTGTATTACTGTACTGTATATAGCACACAGTTTGTCAACTCCTCATATACGGTACCTGTAGGCCTACTTCTGTCATATCTTTACCTCAGTGCAAATGGAGACCCATGGCTGAGAGGGACAAATGCTCTGGAAATTCACTTAATCTGCAGGTTTGCTGTGGCGGGGATATTTACCTTGTTAGCAGACATTTTGCTTATCTGACCTTCCAGCGACCAGTTGAGGTTAGATATTAAGCCTATTTCAACTTATTTTATTCTAGTAAGCCTATTTCCTTTTTTCGTTTCTCTCGTGTCAATGTAACTCCAAATATGACTCTTCTCGTATTACTGTATTAATCTCATTTGATTAATTACTTATTAGGTTTCAGAGTGTATTTATTCTATTTTAACTCATTGTATTTCTCCTCTCCTCCCCTCTGTTTACTTAAGAATCAACCCTTTAATTTTCACATAACATTACTTACATAAAATTCAGCAAAGCTGATGCAACAACAGGTGAAATTATTATCATGAAATACAAAAAATAAAACTTTTTCCTACAGTTACCTAACAATGTACATGTTCTCTCACTGATTTGAGAAAGCAAAGTCCAATTCACTCATCAGTGAGACAATGTTTACATTGTCTCACTATAGCCTAATTACTTTGTCTCACTCCAGATTTGCAACGTGAAGGCACGAAATAGTGAGCGCGTAACATGCAGACAAGGTCGTATGCGCGCGAAATACGTTGGCAGCACTGGCTGTAAATCAGGTGGTCAGCTGTTGTACTGTTGCATCATTAAATGTCATATTAAAAGTTCACTTCTGTGTAAAAATATGTTATGTTTCTTTACCAATTTATTTGTTTTATGGTAACTGTAGGAAAAATATAATGTGCAACTCGAGTGCAAAGTGCAATTGCTCACTTTGCTCACTAGTTGCACAAATAACTATTTACATTAAATTTTTAAAATTAAGTCAACACATAATTCATAAAAGAGTTCACATAGAAAATAAATATATGCCTTTGTCGATTAACTGAATTGCTATTTGAATTGTTCTATCGTTTCTACAGTTTTAATACGTTTTGGTAATTTGTTATAATTTTTTTTTTTTAATACTGTGGAATATATTCAAGTGCAGTAAAATTGAACATGCATTGATTGCAGGACTTGTATGAAAGTTTTGTCAGTGCTCGGGACAGAGAAGAACGAGGATTAACAGACAAACCAAGAGAAGAAGGTAGACCTGAGAAACCTCGGTCTGGGAACACAATTTTCGTTCATGGTATGAAAATTACTGAGGACTTCCTACGTAAAACTTTCCAGTCATATGGCAACATTGTAAACATATCAATGGAAATTGAAAAGAAGTAAGTTTTGTTCGTTGGAACATTAATTATTAACTGAAAGAAATCCTAAATAAGCCTAAATTTCTGTGTTACTAGAGAAATAGTATAGATAGACTCATTTAGCGTTTTGCTGTAGTGTAGGCTAGATCCTCACTCATCTTCCAATTATATCTGGGTGAAAGCCTTAGTTGCATCCCAATCCCATAATGCAGGGTCGTATTTAGAACCGATGAGGCCCCGGCGGCTCTCACCAGAGAGGCCCCTCTATATTCTGATTCTTCGGACAGGTTAGAACGTGGTATTATTGCTTCAACTCGACGAATTGACCTTTTGTTTCGAACAATCCGATAAGCAAAAAGATCTAGGAGACTAAACTAATAAATAAGTCTATTATTTTTTTAAATAATAATATTAGGCATCTTAGGTCGGGCCCCCGTGGAGGAATTAGTGAACATCTTTCGCGATCGTGGAGACATCACCTTCGTCCTTTGCAATCGCGGCAAAATCTCCTGTGGCCGTGGAGAAATAGTTAACCTCTTGCGCGAGCGCTGAGACATAATCTTCGTCCCCGTTGATCAAGACGAAATCGTGAGGATCTTCCGAGTTTTTGTTGACATGATCTTCGACACCCGCGGTCGCGATAAAATCCTAGATTGATATCTTCCGCGATCGCGGATAAATAGTGACAAACTCATATGTTAACGGCGAAATAATGAAGATCTTCCTCTGTCGCGCAGATTTTATTAATATCTCCCACAATCACGGGGAAAAAGTAATAAATTGGTTGAAATAAATTATCAATAAAATAAATTTTAACGCCCCAAGTGAGGCCTCCCTCCGAGGTCGAGGCCCCCGGCAACCCCCTGGCCCTGCCCATATGCCAATGAAAGATATAATAACAAAGAAAGATTGGCCAGGTGTTCCTTTCAAAAATAATCTTGCAAGCAAATTGCAAATTGTGCACCCTAGATGTAAGAGGTGTGTCATTGCATTCAGTTGTTTCATTTGTTTGAACTAATATTGTCACAACAGCACATCTGTGTTAAAACACATTAAACGTGTGTGTAACTAGTTATGTTATTATATTTAAATAGTTGAGGAGATTTGTAAATAAAAGTCATTAAATTACTAATGTTATAGGAGATTACTTTTTTAATCAAATTTTTACATCATGTTATTTTGGATATTGGAAATTTATTTGGTAAGCAGTTTTTCTAACCTGGATTATATTTTATCGAAGCTAACGATTAGTTAAGTGCTTCTTGATATATAAAGTATAGACACCAAGACACCTCTATTTAATAATGTCAAGTGCCAAATTTTCATTTGTATTCACTTTCCTAATGGCTTTAATGCCCCTTTTATGTAATAGGCCTAGTTATTAAAACACTTGTGTAAGAAAGTATTTTTAACCTTTAAAACCTCAAAGGCCCACATATCAATAAATCAAAGTACAACTCAACAAAACAGCTGAAAATTATATCTGGTAATGTGACACGTCAAGCTTAAAACTGCTAGCTTTAGTGTTTGGGTGACCAGTACTTTTGTCTGGTCAGAGGCCAAGTCTCCCTGGCCAAGAGACTGCACTTTAGATTGAGGATTTTAAAACCATCTCTGTCAGGCTGGTGTGCAACTTATGAAAAGTTAGCCTATCTGTAGCAGAGCTTGATGGGAGTGGCCCAACTAATATAAATAGTGAATGGCTAAAGTTGACAAGATGGGTGGATTCTCTGTGAATTAAATGGAATAAGAACAACAATTAAACATCTACCTGGAGATTTAAGAGTTAAGTGATAAAAATATGTGTTTCAATCAAGGAATGGAACCATGTTACCAAATAAGCAAATGATGAACGCATATATTTTCTTATTATGGCATACATTTTCAGCCGTGGGTTCGTGACATTTGACAAAACTGAAGCAGCTGATACGGCAATTACTGAGGTAAGACTAATTTTACTGTTCACTGTAGGTTTTTAAATAGGTTCATAATACTGGTGTAACTTATAATAATGGCTGTTTTGTGTTTTCCCGCAGTAACATGTGCTACCATACTTGGGAATAACGAATAGAAATTTTAACGATTAGCAATATTCGTTAGTTTTTTCGGTTAACTTCTATCATATTGGTTGGTTTTTAAAAAGTACTGAAAATAACTTCTACTCAGTTAGATCCTATCTAACGAATGGATAATATTATACTTTTTAGTAGTTTTGGAGTTTAAATAGTTAGTTAGTTAGTTTAAAAAACAAGTTTTTTTGCTTGATCGGTGAAGGCTGCGTGCGGCCGTGAGTGTCAGCACCCTTGTTGACAAACAACGCGTGGGGGGGGGGGGGGGGGAGGGAAAGTCCAGTTGCTTTGGAATTTGGTATGCTTTTGACCATGGGGAGTGGAGGCAGTGGCAGCCACTAAAAAAACCGAGGGGTGGGAAGAGGGAAAGTTTGTTTGGTGATTTGTCATCTCAAAACATTGTCTTCAGTTGTTCATTCTCTGACAAGTAATTTTTTCTGTGGTAGCAACCTTAGCCTGTGATACTCAACTCCCGATTAACTGGGGTTGAGTAAGGTTGAGGCTTCCTGCATAAGTAAAATTGTGGTTAAATCAACAAAATACTATAGAGTGTATTGAAATACATTAACTTATAAAATTATGGTAGGCTAATTAACAAGTTTATATTGTTAATTAATCCACAAGATGGATAGTTTATATTGCACTAAAACATAACTGAATGTTATATTTGACAGAAATCACAATGAATAACACTCATATTTGATCCCAATGACACTCGTAAATACAACGAAGATCTAGTCTTTAAGATCAAATAAAATATTTACAAGACCCAAACTACCGTGAATTAAATTCTTTGAAAATAATCTGTAACAGTTTTCTGTTTTTGAACAAAGAAATATATTTTTCCTGCAGTCACCCGACGAAGTTGATTTCCTTGCACTGATTATAGTACAGAAAGCTGCTAATTGTAGCATTTACTTACTTTGTTGCACCGTTTATACTTTGTCGCACGATTTATACTTTGGCGCTAACCAGAATTCCAACCAAACAACACAAATTGGTTTTATTATGCACATAATCCGACTTGGAAATAGGTTGGCAACACTTAAAAATACTATTAATATGATCAGCTGATTGACTATTGATACTATGATTTAACCTGTCCTTTCGTGTTTATATTCTATTTTTCGTTCAACGCTTGGTTTGAACATAACCAAAAGTGTAGTATTTTAAAGAATAATTATAAGTGGGCCTAACATGTTTGAGAACAATAATCTCAGTGATTGTGAATATATGTGTACACCAGAAGAAATATGTAGCAGAAACTGCAAAGCATGTTTCATTAAACCTGTTATCTGAAAAATCAAGAAAGAAGTATGAACGAGCATATGAACTGATGACCGAGCTGATACCAACTGATGATTGAGTGAGCCTAGGCCTGGCTGGTGATAGTGATTTATTATTTATTGGTATGTTTACATCCTAACTGCCCTTCCTACCCAGACAACGACAACACTGCGGTTTCAAAAACATTGACTTGTGTTGGTTTAGTTACCACATTAATTAAAACATCGGGATTAGTAAACAAATCCAGCTAAAGCTGGAAAATGCCTTAGATTAACCACACAGACAACTGTATAGTAGTAGAAATAACAAGCAAAAACAAAATTAAATCTGAAACAACACAATAGGTTGGAACAAAGGTGAATACGAACAAAATGGACAAGTCTGCACAAGATGGTGGCCTCGCTTGTGTTGATGTTATTTCATTGTTAATCTTGTGCAGATGTACCCTTTTTGTTGTGATTTTCTAGCGTTAGCTGGGCCATTTTTACTAATCTTGTTAAGTTTTAGGTACTTTCTCACCCAAGGATGGATAAGGTTCCAGATCCTGAAACGTTGTAAAATCTTGCTAATTGTTTTTAAATTTATTAAAAATTTTAAAATACTTTTACTGACGTTTTTAAAGTTTACTAATTATTGTGATGAATTGAAATGTCTGGAATAATGCATTTTTAAAAGTTAACTTCAAACAAAGAAAAAAAAATTAGTTTCAGACTAGCACAACAACAGATTTAGTGTTTTCTTCATTGAAAAAGATGTAGAAAGATACATAACATAGCTGTAAGCCTAGCTATAGTTTGGGATAAAATATTTTTTGTTTAACATTGAGTACCTAGATAATTACTAGGTAAGTAGATTTTGTATCCTGTTTTATGGGGCATGTTTTGGTGAGTATTTGATTTGCAAGTATAGAGTGTGCTGATGGCAATTAAATGTTTTTTACCATTATGTTTTACTGATAGGGATTGACAATCCAAACCAATAATCTCCAGTTGTAATTGTAGTATGACCAAATAAAAGGAATGAAGGAAGGGGGGGAAAAAGGTTAGGCCTAATAGAAAAGAGTTTAATTTAAGTTAGGGCGAGTGCAATATACAGGGTGGTAAAAAAGTCCCTGGACAGTTAAATATTATAAAAAAAAAATGCAGATAGAGCTACAATACTTGGTACAAAGTTACAGGGCATAAAACTCTATTTTAACACATATTCAATGATCCAATAACTCTTCAGGGGGACGGCCCACAAGGAGTTGGAAGAAAATCTTAAATGGAAGCATAGGTCAATATGCACATCAAATTAAAGGTCTTTTTTAGTAAAATACAATGCCGCAAACCGCACTTCAAAAGGTTGATCCTGCGCAAAATGACAGTTGTTCAAAGATTCATTTAATTAACATTGCTATTATACGCTTACTCCTCAGGGGGCACAACCCTAGGAATCGGAAGAAAATTGTTAACGTAAGCATAGGTCGGTATGCACATCAAATTAAAGGTCTTCACTTTAGTAGATTGCGATGCCGTAAGTTCAAGCTCAAAAGAATGCCTGAGTAAAAAATGGCAGTCGTTCAAAGATTCAAAATGGCGGATTCAAGAAATCTTTGAACATCTGCCATTTTGCGCAGGATCAACCTTTTAAAGTGCGGTTTGCGGCATTGTATTCTACTAAAAAAGACCTTTAATTTGATGTGCATATTGACCTATGCTTCCATTTAAGATTTTCTTCCGACTCCTTGTGGGCCGTCCCCCTGAAGAGTTATTGGATCACTGAATATGTGTTAAAATAGAGTTTTATGCCCTGTAACTTTGTACCAAGTATTGTAGCTCTATCTACATTATTTTTTAAAATATTTAACTGTCCAGGGACTTTTTTACCACCCTGTATGTATATTACAATGCTAGAAGAATCTATTTATTTCTTGTGTTGTTGGCTAAACTACTGAGTGATGTTATGCTTCTACACAAAGGGAACGGAACAGCAGTTTGGAGTTATCGCCATGAAAATTGTATCGTCCCAATACCGGGGTTTCAAAACTTATTTAATAGTAATTATTTACAATTACAAATAGCCTGAAAATCCTAACTCTTATGTACAGACAATTGAGATAAAGAAACATATTTTGTAAAGAGGCATGTTTTGTGAGTTGGAATCCTAGTAGTCTAATATGGTATGATGACTGTTACAGATCAATGGCAGCATTGTGTCAAATATACAACTGAAGGTTACCTTGGCTCGGAGACAACCAATAATCAGTCCCATCAATGATGCCTCCTCATCCACTGCTTGGTCCTCTCTTGGTAAGTGCCTCAATGACTGGTTACCTGCCTGGCTATGGCTGGTACTTGCCTTGTTTTTATGCTCTTAGTATTCTGTAATACTAAATTAAATAGCTTATGATGGTATTGAAACCATATTTTTGACTATCAAACGTCATTGGAATAGACAAGTTCAAGTTACACTATCAAACTCTTTGAGATTGAAATGATTTAAATCTCCCCGTTTTGAAAAAAAAAAATCAACAAACATAAATAGTCCCTATTGGATTTCAATGAAACAGTCAGAAAATATAACTTGTCACAAGATCAGTGAAAAAATGAATTCAGTTCCTTGGTCAATCATCTTACTGTGTCTTTCATATTTTTTTCAAGCAAATTTTCCTATTTTCTGTCTTGTTTGGATCCAAAATATAAACTGATGCTCCAAAACTTTGTCATAACTTTGTTTGTGTTATGTTTCAGCTTCCAACCGATCTCAAAAAGGAAGCCACAAGGACAAAAGAGAACAAGTAATATACGATGATATATTTGACTAACTTTATATGATTTAGTCTTCTTAAGTTAGTGTCTTAAGTTGAAACTATCAATGTGATAGGGAGTTTATTGTAAATAAAAATTAAAATCATTTAAAAAACCACTCAAAACAGTGTTTATTTACAAACTTTATCATTAGAATTGTAAAAAGAGCATTGTTCAATGTTCTCGGTCTAAAAATAAATAACGACTTAAAACAAATGAAATAAATAACAAAAGTTCAAGGGTGAGGCGGGAGGAAGTCCCAGTGATGATGGTGAACGGTTCTATCTTGCCCAAAACCCAGGAGCAATAGCCCGGCAATGAGAACAAGAACGATACAAGCTGCTGTCTGGGCGTCTTTTCGCTTCTCACCCTCTGGAAATGCAGCATTGAGGACCTCGATGGCTTGGTTCATCCCACGAGATGCAGAGTTGTGCCAGATGCCAAGGAGCTGTCTGATTAACTCTATCGCAGTCGCCTCTCTCTGGTGAGGTCTCCGAGCTATTGGGTAACTAGGGAACTCGTCTTCTTCCTCCTCGTCAGTTGACAGCTGAGTCGGCTGTTTGTGAGAGTGATGTCTTCGTCTTCGAGGAACCATCCTCAACTCCTCCTCTGAGTCTTGTGATCTCGTTCTGGGAGGAGACCTCGGTGGAGGGGATGATGGGACGTAACCAGGAACATGCTGGCCTTGCGGACTGTGGATGACTATGGTAGGTGGTGGGGATGGCCTCCGTGGGGGTGAGGGTGGGGCTGGCAGTGGGGAGGCAGGAGGCACTTGTGTTAGAGGTTGTACGGACGAAGATGAAGGGAGAGATTCTTGTTGGTTCATAGGTTGTATAACGGATGGTGGTGCCACTTCCTGTTGAGGTGTAGTGTTTGTTTGCGAGTCTGTCATCTCCGGAGGAGTCTGAGTCGATGACTGAATGTGAATAACTGGTGCGGGTGGTGGTTGCGGAGTTATTGCTTCTAGAAACGAAGAAGGAAGCTCAAATCCACTTACTACTAAATGACCTGATTTACTTGTCAGTTCTGCAACTTGCATTGATACACCGTCAATGTCGGAAACTGTAATCTTATGTGCTTGTAGTTCAGTAACATTGAGTTTGTCTACATCCAATTCTGCTACATGTATTTTTTTAGCTTTAAGAATTTCAGTCTCAGGAGTTGGTATAACTACTACTTTGTGCTCGATAATTGTTTCAACTTTTTTCTCCACCTCAGGCTCCTTAGCAGGGCGTGGTGTTTCTGATGATGATTCCTCATATCTGCTATAATCAGCTGAAGTTTGTTGTTCTTCTTCCACATAAAACCCATCTGGTAATGTATCAGTCTGAGTTGATACATTAGCTTCAACAGGTGCTGGTAAGGGTGTTTTCCTTGTTTGGCTTAGTGACTTTTTTCTCCGCTCTGTTTTGACTGGAGGCTCACTCAATATTTCTGGTTGTGCATGTCCAGTGTGTGGCACTGTTTGTCTCTCAAAAACCTCTTCTACAGGTTCAATATTGGGAGATTTTTCTCTTTTTGTCTCATGATCATGATGTGGGTGACCTACAAGAATATCAATTCTCTCTGAGACTACTACATCTTGTTCATCCAAATCTGTTGTTTCCACCTCTTCCTCAGTAAATTCTCTCACATCTTCTTCGTCTCTCATTTCCTCTTCCCTGGTTTTCCTCGGGGGACGTGGTGGGGGAGGTAAAGGACGATCTTTCATTTTTTCGATCACATCTTCGCTTTGGAGATCCCTCATTTCTTGAACTTCTTCTTGTTCATATTTAATAGTAGATTTTTCATTATCTAATGAATCTAATATTACACTGTTGACAATTTCATTGTCTATGTATTCCAGGGTTTCTTTTTCTTTTGCCTCTTGAGTCTCATTTTCATCTTTCAAAGGTATAAATTCACCTTCGTAAACAGGCTCTCTGAACACTCTGTTTCCTCTCGGAGGTCTCGTTGGTCCTATTGTACTATAATTTCTCACAGGTCTAATAGGTGGAGGAGATGACATGTGCAGTTTTTTCTTAATTGCTCTTCTAGGATATGTAAAAAAGAAGTTTATACTCTGATTTTTCAAAGCTGCTAGTTGTGCCGCTGTTTTTCTTCGCCGACTAGGAGGAGGAGGTCGTTTTGGTTTTTCCGTTAGTTGTTTTTGTTTTCCTTCCATTACCGTCTTCTCTATAACAGCATAACCTGGTGAGTCTATGATGACAGGCAAAATGTCAGGCTTAGTTTCCAAATCCTCTGTCATGTGTGTCCTAGATTCTGAGATGAGAGATTCGGCTCCTCTAGAAGTTCGATCGTCTTCAGCCAGTGATGTTCCTTGTGATCGAGATTTTCTCATTGGGGGAGGAGGAGGAGAGTCGTAGTGACCATTCTGAATTGCCCTGCTTTGATCTGTATCCCTTTGAAGTGCGATCACCTGCTAGAAAAACATACTTTCTATTACAACATGATAAAGATAAATAAGGCGCACTATTATCATTAAACAATCTTGGGTACCTATATCTGGGGAGCTGGGTAGTTGAGTATTTAATGTGCTCACCTAACAAACAAAAGGTTGATCCTGGGAAAAGTCAGAAGCAGTCGGTCTTAGAAAATATATTGATTGCTAGAGGAGCACTATAACCATTAATCTAAATAAATAAAAGTACTGAGAGAGTAAAATATTTATTAGACAAGTTGAGCTAAATAAAAAAATATTTATGATGTAAATAGTAAACACATTTTGATGGTTCAAATAAAAAATTTTAATACACCTTTATTAATACATTGCAATCCGAATCCACATAATGTTTTACGTTTCAACTTCCATATCGGTCGAGTTGTCGTATGATGGGATTGGAGGAGCATTTGAATGATTGTTTATAACTTCTTTCCATACTACGCTGCGGGTGTAAGTAGGATTTGTTGGTGGTAAGACAATTTTTAAGTCATTTCGGTTCTTAACCCAAGAGTAGGCTACGTAAAGCTACCATGCATGAAAACCCCGGTGAGCAGGATCAAACCTACAAATTTCAGTGTTTGTCATTGGCTCTTGTGTATGGTCATAGCAAATGCTTGGCTTATGGAAAACTGATGGCGCTTCATTGTATTTCCAAGATGGGACTTGCTTGAATATAACGTGATTTGTGGAAAAATTTTCCAGAATGCTCTCCAGTGATTATTTTGGCCTTAATAATTACTAGTGTACCTGTTGCTCGAAATCGAGCAATTGTCAAGTACCAATATTATACAGAAGTTATTTTAAAACTACAGTAATAACAGTCATAATTTTCGATGAGTTTAAAAGACCCGACAAAATGCTTGTGTAACTAATTGTAATACTCACACTATTTAATAGCGCTTTGAAATAATAAACGCTTCTTGTAAAAATAGTTAGCCTTTTTTTTACCCGGCCTTATTTTTTAGTGTTTTCTACAAATGTTTCCCGACTTAAAGCTGTTACCAGTAAACATTTCTTGCATGTATTTATTTGATCTGACTTGAGGTAGGTTTACTTTACCACTGTGACAACATGATGTGTATATTCTTTAATGTTTTTTTTACTTACAAAATAAGTTGCTTAGCATAACTGGCAAAAATGATTCATCTCCCCAAGTGATTGTGTACCTGGATTCCCGGACTGTGAGACCAGAGTTTCGTTACGATTAATCGATTTCTAATGCACATTCCTTCAGTAACGTCCAGGTTTCACAATAGCATTATGATGGTGTACTCAGTGAGATTTAGTTCATGAGCAGTGGCGGTTCTGGACCTGGTCAAGGGGGGGCTATGGGGGTGTTCCACACCTGGAGTTGGATATTTTTAGTCTTTCATGAAATAAATTTAACCAAGATTTCGAAGATTTAGTTTATTGAATTTTAACAATCAGCAATGGCTTTAACACGTTCGCTGCGGGCCATCAAATGACAGGTGTAGCCTCAGTGCGGCGCAGCCCGCAGCGTCGAACAAACCCGATTGCCGGGTGATTGGCTCTCATATTTCTGTATGACGAATAGCAAATAACAAGCGGTGACGTCCTGTTTTATAACAAGAGTCGACTTAGTTCGCTAAACACTCACAGATAGCAGCACTGCTTGGAACGTAGGCGGTCCCATCGTATTGCCAATTGGAGGGAGAAAGACGGGACAACAAGTTGATTTTTAAGTTTGCCAGATGGGGATTTTATGGGGAAATTTTACTACCAACCTACAACACAACAAAAAGCAAGTCACCCACTACACGCTAATGTGGAATAGGTCTGCCTTCGACCGACGCTAGAACAAAAACGATGATATACGAAAGGCATTGCCGAGCGTTTTCGATCGGTTACGGCAGCACCTGAACAGCGCTCGGCCCGTATCCGATCGGATACGCCCGCAGTGAACGTGTTAAAATGGATATAAAAGTGTATTGAAAGTTTTGCTACTTACATTATCTAGCACCATGTCATCAGCCTGGGCGTCTTCGTCCATCCATTGCTCCCTCTGGAACTGCCGCAAAGATTCTTTGTCCTGACTGGAGTCTCGAGTGCTCTTCCTTCTCTTTGGAGGTAGAGGAGGTTGAGGCTCTTCTACCCAAGGTTTATCTAGAGCTTCTGAGGACTCGTCGATGTACCGAGTAGGTGACATTTCCTTTGTAGTATCTGTCACATGTAGACTTGGAATTGACGGTGGTCTAATATCTTGCACATTTTCCTTCTCATCTTCATCATAGTCTACTGGAATTGATTGTTTACTCTGAGAACTTTGTTTACGTACCCGAGTAGGTCTGTTGGGTGGAAAGGTGTTAAACTGACTGTCAATTTCCTGTTTCGGCTCTTCAGATTTGCTCCTGGTTGAACGTTTCTTCAGCGACCTGGTGCGTTCTGGTCTCACTGGTTCTTCCTCTTCGATTTCCTCATCTTCAGTGTATTCAATATCTCGTTCGGGTGTCATCCGCATTTGTTCTGATGACTGATTTCTCATGGCTTCCATTGACATGCGTACAGGCTCACCGGTAGGCCTTGGTTTACTATCATAACCTTCATTGTCGTCATCATATTCTTCCCTGCCTAGACTTGCGAGGGCATTTTTGGGTGATCGGAAGGCATCTCGGATTTCAAGAGAAAGGTACCTACTGACATCTACATCTT